CTCCTCCTCCTCCTCTTCCTCCTCCTCCTCCTCCTTTCCTCCTCCTCCTCCTCTAATCGCTTGAGATCGAGTGACAGTGATAATGCACCTAACTTAACCAAGTGCGACACCAAAATAAAGAAGCGTTTAATTTCCCTCCTTCATCACTTCAGACAGGCAGAGGAAAAAAATTCAAGTCTGTCTGACTGAGGGTTGCGCATCCATTGGAAGGAACAACTTTGTTCTGGCAATGGTGAGTTCACTTCCATTTAAAACCCCTTTGTTGGCACACTTGGCCCTTTCACATTCCTCTTGGGGCTTGACTTCTTAGTTAGGCATTCTATTTCACATAAGGACAAGTCGTGCCATAATTCCATTTCACCCTCTACTTCCTTTCAGGCACTTGCACTCGGAGCCGACTACATAAACTTTGGAGATGTCAATTCTACAACAGCTCAGGTCCAACTTGCTCGATGGCTTGATGCTGTCGACAGCCACGTTGGAAAGTGATGTGTCCAAATTTACACTAACGAAGTTGTCGCAAACTTCAAGTGCAAATAATGTTGTGGAACCTCGACATCAAGCAAATTTATGCCTTTCACCTCATTCAGGGCGATATACATGTGCAAAAAAGGCCAAACAAAGAGAAAATTCCGTCAATTTTTGCTTGTGCCTTGCAAACCCTTGGGGAGACTCACGTGGGACGATTGTCAGGGTCACAAGTTTAAAGTTCATTTATAGGACAGGCATTATAGATACCGTAGGTCTCACAATGCTACCGTAAAATCTACTCTCAATCCTTTCTCACACCATAAATTTTATTTCTTTACAAATAAAATACGCCTTTTATGGTGTATTTGAGTGCATCTCTCAAGATGAGAGGGTGCATTACACACCAACCGTGTCTCCTAATTACCTCAAATTCCTTCCATAGCTACAGCAAATTGTTAGTTAAAGACTGCCGTTGAGACCTCCTCTCTTCTTGCTTTTCAAAGTGGTTGATGAAAGATTTATTTGGCATTAGACGATACTTTTTAAACCTTACCCTTGGCATCGTCTCATCACTAGCCATGTACACATCAAGAGGGCAGAGCGAGTGATTGAGGCCAACAGTGACCTCTAAGAGTCAATGATGAGCTAGGAAAGTAGGCAAAGAAAAAAAAAAGGAAAAACAAAAGAACAAAAGGTGTTATCACAATGAGGTGGAGGTGAGTGGAGGCCTCGGTCAATTGTAATGTCATGCAATTAGTAAGGCTCAGTGCATTTCAGCATTGCAATCACATTTTGATCGCCATAGGTGCCACGCACAAACTCCTCACGTGAGAGCACTCCATCCCTGTTGACATCCAACTTCTCGAAGATGGCTGCTGCATGCTGCTGTGGTGTCAAGTGACCAGGTGGCAGTTGACTGGTGTCAAGGACACCAACCAACTTGTAGAGCGCCTAGACAGGAAAAAAGGGAAGTCACTGCAGGTGTATTCTTGTCACACACTTTGGTGTAGCACTTGAAAAGGGAGGCAAAAATAGTACTCGTGGATAAGTCTTCGCAGAACATATAACAAAAGAGGAAATGGAGGGCTGTGGAGCACTGAACGCAAAGATGGGTCTGCTTCTGGTCAACATCACCTCTGTTGTATTCAAGTGCATTTTGGTGAATAATAAAGTTGTATGATAGGTGGCTACTGCAATTCCAACTGCCTACGAGAACAATGTAGCGGTGAGGGGCACAGGGCGTCTTGAGTACTTAGTATTGTCGCGCTAGTTACTCAACATGCAAGTATGACACAAACAGGCGATTTAACCGACTATGTTTACATACCAATTAACACACAATAAGTAGCGTAAAAAAAAGACAAAAAAGGTTGGAGACCGTTCAAAAGTGTTTGCACTGCTCGATGTGTTTAAAAGCTTCGGGTACAAATTTGGTGGGGCGTTTCTACTTCCTCCTTTTGGTAAAATATGTCAGGAAATTAGGTTAAGGGATTGTCGATGTAAAGCTGTTTGTGTAGGCTTTGCTTCCCATTAAGAGAATGACAAACGTCGTGATAAAGCATTTCTGGGCCCTCAAGGCTTGTAGTCCCGTTGGGCAGAAAAATAATTACTTTCAAAGGAAAGGGTGAATAACAATAGGGCAGTCTACTACCTTCACAACATCATAAATAGAAGCTTAAAACACTGTGGGCCACTAAATTGTTTAGTGTTACTTATATCCCATTTAAGTAGAAGTCGAAAGTTATTTAACGCCTATTGGAACAAATCATTTAGGAAAAGTGACAGTCGTCTCCAAATCATGTAGCTCAAAAAAACTGATAATACTCTATAGATAAGTCTCAATGAAAGGTTCGTCTTTGGCATCAAGCAATACGCTGTGCACACATTGTTTTGACGCTGCAACACACGTGACACATCACACCTAACGCATTAGTTCGGTGAGCACAAATTGCAAAGACCGTAAGGTCATATGGCTTATATGGTAAATTTTATTGATATCGCTTTGCTGTACTAGCATAACAGGGCGAAACAGAAGGGTGTGAGACAGGCACACACGACCAGCATGAGCAGCACAGAGGGACCCCGAAGAGAGCAAAATACGTGGACTGCGGAACTCGTCTGATCTTCCATATCAATACACAAAGAACCACCATTTTGATAAAAAAATGGAAGCTATTGGATGGGAGAAGCTGAAGTCTAAACGGCAAATACAATTATTGATAGTTACTTGCAATATGGATGCTATAAGCAGAAGAGTGGAAGCCTTTGCTCTCACCACAGTGCATCGTTAAACTTTTAAACCAATCTGAGGGTGAATGCTATCCATAATCTTGCAAAGCAGATGATAAGAAAGAAAAGAGAACGCAATATTCACCAAGTGTCATCAGAAAAACAGCATGAGACTCTTAAATTAAGGCTGAAGGAAGAAAGTATTGCTTGGTAATGCAACTACACCTAAATTGTGCTGGTCTTAGAGCAGATCTTGGCCACTACAGGATCAAGGGTAGCATTCCAAGGCGGATGTTATTCTAGCTACTTATTGAAGGTCACATTCGAATCATAGACCACTTCATTATGCCTCTCAAGTCTCACTCTGCATTGTATAAGCAATTAACGAATGCAAAAACTAATGTATTTTATTTTTGTATTTGCAAGAGTTTCTCCATAGCCACCTTTAAATAGGCTGAACGAAATCTTTCTGGGAAAAGACCGATATGCACATAATTCACCAAGATTGAGTGCAAAAGGTAAACAGTTTATGTAATAATGATCAACTTCGGTCCCCGTAAGGCTGATACGCAATTAAAAAATATCATTTTTAGCTTTACAATCTTGCGCAAAATTAGTTAAAATTTGGCCCTAGCGCCTCTCTTTTACAGCCTACATTCATGATATTGCGAGTTAATTTAGCTTGGATTTGGGGTTATGCTTACCAAAATTGCAATGAAACCATAGTCTTATAAGGTAAATTGAAAAATAGCTATCGAAATCTAATCTAAAAATAACTTGAACATTTTCAGTGAGGTTTCACACAGACAGATGTGATTGAATTTTGATGGTAATACACACTCATGTTTGCCATCAAGGCTTGATTACGCAAATGGCAAATAGGATTTATTGGAGCAACAGAGTGCTGCTAGAATAGGCAATATAGTAGGATACTAGCCACGGGTTTGATTTCTTCAGCAGCATCAACCCAATTATCGAAGCACATTAATTCAGAGACTGTTTGTAAAATTAGAAGAGCATAGCTTGATGGACATCAGAGACTAATCAGTTATGAATTAGCAAAAAATGTGCCAAAAAAGTTACACAATCTGTAAGAATATATTCAATTTAACAAAAAAACAAAAGCTATGCTAAGAAGAGATTTACCACTAAAGAAACTATTCACGATTCTTTTCAATCAGCAGAGTGCTCGAGAAAAGATAAAAATAGCGTTAATTTAATGCAAATGCTTAGTTACAAACACAAAAATCAATCAAAACAATTAAGCTTTATCTAAATTTCAAACGGCAAATGCATCACATTTGCTGAACATATAATTATTCTTCCCTTTTCCACGTTTCAAATTCAAAAGTAGGGCCAATACATATTTTGCGCTTGTCATACATATCAAGGCTTACTTCTATCTATTAAGTTAAAGAATCTCTTGTATAGGGTAGATAAAGACTTACGCTTAGCATAGTCGTCAGCTCATGCAAAGAAATTACACCATTTTTGTCTTGATCATAGAGATCAAATGCCCAGTTGATTTTTTCGTCGACTGTTCCATTATTTATAATGCCCAACGCACAAGTAAATTCTGTAAAGTTTACAGCATCATCCCCGTCCGTGTCAAAACTATTGAACACTATATCAGCGAAGGCGTCCGAATAACCTCCAGGAAAAAAATCGGAATACACCCGGGCAAATTCTGAGCGACTCATTTGCCCATCAGGAAATTGTTTGCGAAATCTTTTATACCAGTCTTTTAGTTCCTTTGGTGACATCTTTGTCTTTTTTTGAAGCATCTCAAGAGTATCATTATCGAGAGTCGAGTGTTTGCCCCCCATGTATTCGATCGACGCAGTAATTAACTCCGCATTAATGTCAGAGCATACAAACAAAAGGTCAAAGAATAAAAAACGCTATTTAAAAAAATTTAAAAAATTTTAACATGGTAAAATACGTTATTAGTTAGTATAAAAACTCGCAACACAAACATTTTAATACAATTGTGTACGAAATAATCGTAGGATATGAACCTTAGAAAAATGTTAAAACAGTTACGGTATTTATGCCAAAGTTTAATCGCTAATATTTTGTATTTACTAACTTTTATTAAAACAGGTGCCTAAGGCTGTTTTACTTCATACATATGAATGCATTTGCCAATAAGATGCGCAAAAGTCTCTCAGCTGCGGTCAAGATTTCGCTGATTAGCAGTCATAAATACAAATGATTTTGACAAAAGGAACTGCATTTTTGGGTTTTATTCTGCATATGAAACTATGGGGCCGAATTTTTAGGCATGAAATCTTTAGTTTGTTAAAATAACAAGAGCTTACAGCTATTATAAGGCCAAATGACTGATACGTTCGGAATATAGCATTGTCCGCAAAATCCGTGGATCATCTAAATAACAGCGCAAATGCTTTCCGAATCGCACAAACACTGGTTCTATCAAAAGATATTGAGGTAAGATTAGAAAATAAGAGCTGGTAAGACCATTTCGGCTAAAGATCTTTATCATTAGGGCACGGATCTTATTTGAATTTCAATTACTTTCAGCGCCCATGTGCCTTGCAATCTGTTGGATTAACTTTACTCCATTTAAATAACTTCCTCATCTTACGAAATCTTATATATGTTTACATGCGATAAGCACTCGTAAATCACATTATCTTGCATTCTTTGTACAGACTAATATAAGTAAAAATCAATTCAAATTCGTTGGATTTATTCACAAACTATAGCGCAATTTTCAATAATTTTGTTAGGTGTCAGGTTGGGCGTTCTTTGCTGCGATACAGCCGTATCACCATAATATTCGTTATCAATCACGAGGTATTCTATTATTAAATCAATTCTCAGAACACCTATAAGATGTTTAGAGCCGATTTTCTAGAAACTGACGTGTCCTGTGAATAAAAATGTGTTTTTATTTGCTGTTGCGACACAAATTGGAAACGTGATCTCGCTATGCACATTTGCGATCACTGTTTTGCGTTTAAAAGACGGTCTAAAAACTTGTCCACTCCCACACTGCCCTGTTCACGTTTTGTTTTATAGACCTTGTCACATCTTGAATAGATTCCTAGACGCTAATATTTGCCTATTGTTTCAGATGGCAGACGTTTATTTCTTGAAGAATTTTAGTCGAATGTTGTGTAACGAATGGATGTCAGATGCATTAGAGTGGGAGTTGATTTTTTTTAGCTCTATACAGGGGTCCGAAATGTGCACATATGTCAATGGGTCACTGACAAATGCTGCATTCGGTTCCACACTTCCTGACAAAGTCTGGGATTTCTTACTTTAGTTTTAATATTTTGTCATCAGACGCAATAATAGAGTAGTCCTTCCTCTCTACAGACTCTTCGGCAAAAGCAATGAGTGGCGGTGGCACCGGTAGGGGTTCTGGTCGTGCTCATTTTCGGAGCAGGTTGGGCTGTTGCATTTGCGGGACCAAGTCGTCTAGTTCTCGTTTCACTGCTTCCGAGCGCTACGCGGAACACTTTGGGCCCTGCTTTGGTGATATCGCCTCTAGGCGCTGCGGTGACCTCTGCAATGCTTGCGTACTCTGCGTCAAAAGGTGGATTCAGAGAGGAAGGCAGCCGGGCTACTTTTCACAGGTGCGAATAGTCCGCAATCAAATGTAGTTAGTTCGACCGTTGCTATTTCCGAACTCACCCAGAATAGGGCTGTTTCTTGAAAAACCCTGCTGTTTTACTGTAATTTCGTTTCAGGATCAGTCTTCTATAATGTTCATTCACTTGCGCGTTAATGTACTGTTATTTCTGATTTAAACCATTTGTTTTACAAGTTAGTTCATTTTTAACGTGGATTTAGCTACTTCCGCTTAACGCTTTGCATTGACTAAAGACGATAAATGTAGCCCTGCAATGTTATTCTTGAATATCATTTTTCGGTTATTTATATGCTTCTAATCCTCATAAACATCTTCGGACACGAATCACTGGGCTCATATTCTTTTATGCTGTTGATAGCATAGAAAATTATTATTTAGTTTTAACATGATTTTGTCTTTGTCTTCTTGATGGAGTATGGATGGAGAAGGTTCATGAGCTTACCCTATTCTTATTTGACTATTATTACGTTATTCGGATTACTCGATGCTGCACATTCACAGTGTGGCGCTAAACCAAGGCGTTGTGAGTGAGGCAGGTGGAGGGAACCAAGCTGCAGCACCAATCGCGATTGCGTTCGTGGGTATGGTGGCTGAACTGATGATGGTATGGTACCTTTTGAGAGCAGACAGAAGGAGGCATAACCTACTGAACCTATAACTTCTTCCTTGTCTGCTTTCGGCTATCTTTGGATTCATCCCTATTTGCTATTTTGTTCAGCTACCTTAGGCATAAACACACGTAAATAAGCATTCTCTATGCTTGTATTTGGACCTTCTTTTGTTTCACTTTCTATTGTAGAGTCCGTTTTGAGGTTAACAGTCCAATTCAGCTCACAGAGGACATGTATTGGCGTTCACACTTATTAATATTTTTGATAGATGGTTGGGAGTCCCTGTCAGCATTTTTGTTTCATTTATCCCTTCCTCTCAAATACGCGATTCCTTATTTTGGCGGTCTATGAAAGGGACTTATACTTCACTATGTACGATTAATGACTTGAACTGTTGCTGTTAGACAAAAAAACAAACGTTGTTACCATGGCGGCGAATACGTTAAATGATAAATGCATGCATGCATGAACACAGTTTCTTTTGGGCTATGAACTTTGGAAAAGGACGTTTAAAATGTCTTGTTTTTGTCTATCATTCACAACCCACTGGATTGCGTTTTCTAAAGTCTTTCGTGTTTTTCCCGCCTTCAATGATGTTTGGTGAAACGGCAACCTACTGGACATTTTTTGCTTCATTCATGAGCGTCGGCCGCAGTGATATTAGCACACCCACGCAAATTGGGTTGCTTTGGAATCAATCCAGTCTCAGAGCACATGCTTGTTCCACTTGACGCATTTGTGGGCGTTGAGTGCTCCTTAAACATTTGCGCACTGAGACATCAAAACCTTGACCCAAGGTTACTGCCATTTGGCGCTTTTCTCGTTCTTCACTTTGCCGTAAGCAGGGACCTTACAGTCGTCTCCATTTCCATCAATGCCATCCCTATGCCTATTTACATCATGAGCAACTATTTTTGTGCTACTCCGTTCGTTTGTCTAGATAAGAGGCGCGAGAGGAATTGCACCCTGTTTCAGTCTGTGCAATCTCTTGAGGGAACAAGACATCTTCTCACATTGCAAACGGGAGTTTGTGTCCTCGTGTATAATGATGGGTAGATGAAATATGACGATGCAGGCTCATATTTCATATAATCAAATTAAGTTAACTATCGTAACATATGGATTCCGCTTGAACGCTATCAAACTAAAAATTTTTTGATGGTTTTAAAGGATGGAGCTACTATTGTGCGCTATCCTTACCTCATAGAGGCTTAAACACAGAAATTTAAAGTCCTCCCTTATTATCATGATTGATTTCATTAACTTATTCAGGCTTTTATCATCACCCTAGTTTCTGAAAGTGTTCTTGGTCCTGCTGCTGTGAGAAGCATCTAATAGGAGTCAACTTCTTGAACTGTTTTCCACCGACTATCCGGTGTTGTTAGAACTGTCTTTGTCGAATGCATCTTCCATTCACTAGAACGGCCTTTGTATGGTTGATAGCACTAACAGGTGTACTCTAGGCACACGCTGGCATCTTTAATGGCTCATTCTGCACTTTTGGTACGCGTTCAAGATTGCATACCTAGCATCCTCGTTATGGACGCAATCTACTTTGACGACCCACTGGAAAAGCCCATTTTGCGCTTTTGTGTTTCGGTCACACACGCAGGAATTTCATACACACACACGTGCGTGTGTTTGCGTATGTACTTTAAGCTTCCCATCGAGTTGTCCTTTAATCGGTTCATAAATTTTGCCATTTTGAAAAGAATATCACAGAACATATAAATAATCTCGTATATGCGTAGAATGAAGTTGATCAGTCTTTCTTTTGGCCCTCCTAGCAGACTCCTCTCCTGTGGCTGTAACGCCAACCCTTTCTGACGTCCTTTTTTGTCAATTGTACTTTAGTGAATGCTTGACCTGATGCGGAGGCTATATCCTGTAATTCAGAGCAGCAGGTCGCAGCTTGAATCTCTTGTGGGGCACCAATCTCCTTTCCCTCCTGAATGGCAAAGTCGCCCTCATTAGGCCACTTCGGTGTTATTTAAATTCCATTCAAGAGCAGGTAGATCTCAGGACTTTTGGATTTTACATAGAATCGTCCCATTTCCTCATTCATCCGGATACAGTAGTAAGCAGATTCTCAAGCTTCTCAAGCCTCCCGCTTCTACTGTCATACCATTCGCATTTTTCTTAATCTATTTGAAGCTGATTTCTGTAATGCTCTTCTTTCATTCTCAATTATGAGGTCACCGCCGCTCAAGTTTGCAAGTTCACACTAACTCACTTATAGAAGCGCTTATCTTAAGTCCTGCTAGGCAGCTATTAGAAGGCTTCTCGTTTGTCTAGTGGGTGTTTGATCCCATTCTGTCTTTGTTGATTTGCATTGCATTGCATTGCCCTTGTTTCGAAGTGGTGTGCTTCTCTAAAACAATTATCTCTCTTCTCCTTCAATGAAATGCTGCTTGACTTTCTTCCTACTGTCGAAATTAGTAATTTAATCCTTGAAAAGTGAAGTTATTAGTCCACGCTTATTCATTATCCATGCTTTTCTGTTTTATTTTGTCGCTACGATGGCGTTAAAGTTATGATAAAGAAGCCTTGCTGAACACTAAGTAATGATCAGTGGCATTCATACTCCGAACAGGTGTTGGATAGCAAACAGGGTCCTGGTCCGAAGCACATGAAGGAGATTACAAAGCGAGCCCGTCGTCGAGAAGCAAAACAACAGCAAATGCTGCAACTCCAAAAGCAACTACTGCACCAACAACAACAACAACAACAGCACCAGTTGTCTACACGAGTGAATAGCCGCATCACTTCTGTGGGTACTGATGGTTGCAGTGGTGTTGGAGGGGCTCCAAACAACAGTTCCACATCAACTGTTTCTCGAGCGCTACACGGTCACCACCACGGCCACCATTTGGTGCACCACTCGGCCACGTGCGTTGCCTGTTGGGCAGATCAGAATAATGGCAGTACTGTCGCCGCCGTTGCCGCTGTCACTGCTGGCTCCACGCCTGTGACCGGTGGGGGAGCTGCAGCCGTATCACCGACTCCAACTGCCAACGTGGTACGAACACGTTCATCCGTGTCTCGAAAACTCGATTCAATTACGAGTAAGCTGTCCTTCTTTTAGACTGACCCCATGCTAATAAAAAAATTGCTCATGAATTGTTGGCTGTGCCTCCTGATTGGCTGCATCCAGGGAGCTCAGAAAGGGATAATTGATAGTGCTTTTCTCAGGTGGGTCTATGCTTAGTTCAAACCGTCTCCGCCTTGACAAATCCATTTACCTTATAGCATGCATTGAAGATTGTCAGTGTTTTTTTATTTCTGACCATAACGACTTCATCAACTGACCCTGAGCCTAGCGTTTGAGCGTTGCTGGGCGCTGGGTGTTTTTTTCACGTAGTGGGGGTGGGTTGGCCGTATCATAAGCATTATATTGGCATTGCGACGTTTATGCATATTTATTTCACTGACTATGATGTCCAATTTCACGTTGATGATGCCAAGTTTCCCTTTCCCCTCTGCCCATTTCATTGTCTCATATGTCTTGGTGTGCGTGTGTGTGTGTCCTTTCATTTCTCCCAACGTACGCACGTCTACATGGCGTGCAGTATTTTGTGAACAAACATTTCATTAGACCTTTGACATTTGTGTGCATATTCTTGCCTTAAAGTACACTTTAACCTCCTCAATTGTCTTTGCGGGAAAAAACGAAAGTCTGCATTGAAAATAGCTTGAGTTAATCGTACCAAATCTGCCAAATGTGGTTGACACCTCAAGCTGCAATGATGCTGTGCAAAGGTGTCACACGATAAGAAGTAGCACTTCAGTCCAATTAGTCCATTTCTCACCATCTCATATTGCGGGCCCAATTTTTTGGTTCGACATCTACATTTTACCCAACCTATCGTGATGTCAAAATTCCTCCATGAAATATTTCACTCGATTAAAACACCCTTATTATGCCTCATCAGTTGGAGGTAGTGTAGCATTCGTAGTAATACCATAGAACGGTCAAAAGTTAGGCTACATCATCACACTTCAAGTTGGCCAATTCGCTCTTCATCTGTCTCTTCGGTACGGTTGCATGTCATTGGCTTTCCTCTCACCCTCCACTCCCCACCCACCGTTCGTCACCCTGCTCTTCCCCCTAACTGCTGGTTAAGTGGAATGCTTCTTGAAAGTGAAAGATAATTGAATCAGCCAAGTTATGCACTAAAAAATTTCACATTAGCTTGCCCTCTTTTTCTCTCCCGCTCTCTCCATTTGTACTTTCAAAGAAGCGCCGCTTTTTAATCCACTTCCACCCAACTCTATCCACCAATGCAAGGGCCTTGAATTGCATCGAGTCGTCGTTTTGATAGCGGTGTGGTGCGCCTCGAAAGTCGATGGTGGTTTCTCGTTCTACATTTAGAATCGGGGCATTTATTTGCTGCTCCTAACTGATCTTTTGGATTTGGATAAAAGTAGACTCTCCCACTACGCAATGTCAAATCTAGGGTCTCTCTTCTAGCGGATTTGGTGTGGGATAGTTGCCATTTTCTTTGCGTCTTGATTTATCTTTTTTTGTTGCCTATCGCATGTCTCCCGCCATCTAGTGATGGTCGAATGCATACGACTTTATGGGTTTGCTCTTTTTAAGAAAAAGTGGAAGCAGGAAACTTTTGCAATGCGAGCTCTTGACTGATACGTATTTGTGTGGGTTGCGTTATAATCGAAGGAGTTTTTTGTCCATCTGTCCATGTGACAGACACCTGCAAAAGTAAGAAGAAAATAAAGAACACATAAGCAGGTTAGCAGTTAAACCGTTTTTGGTGGTAATGGGAGAAAAATTGATACATTGACACAGAACTCAGATTTTCTTTTCTGTCATCAATCCATTACGAGCCTCTATCCCATCCAGTTTTCTCTCATTTGTTGTGACTCTTCTTATTACGTTTCCTAGAGAACTCTGGTACCATTCCTAGCGTGGACTTAGCTGCTGATTTCGACGCTATCAGCAATTTGGCGGAAATTTCCACCTCCTCTTCGTCATCATCTTTGCATTATCCCCAAATGCGGTCTGACACTACCTCCCTCCTCTCAGCATCACTTTCCCGTTGTAAGTTCTACTTAATTTTTTACAGTAGCATAATTTAAAGCGTCTACATTTTGGAGATCAGAGTGGAACTTTATTTAACGTATTTAGTGGCTTCAATGGGAGTTGTGGCTGAGATCATGAAGGTACACAATCCAAGTTACAAAATGGGTAATAATAATGCTCTTTTGTGTTATTGCTCTGCTTTGGAAGACGAACCTACTCAACGATAGTTGGCATTCTCCTGACTCAAGAAATTCATCCCATTAGTGATGGAAATTTCAGCTTTATAGCTGGTTTCGTGTTGCTAATGCTTTGCAATAAAGACGTGGTGTTAGAGTCAGGCACACGACTTTGGAGCTCGTACGCTTAATGTACGTTTGTCAAATTAAACCAGGGTGCTTTCCACCTTTGTACTGTTTATGCGTGCGTGACTTGCTTGACATGCGACATGGCCGGCAACTGGGAAGTGGTTTTGTATTCCGTCTAGATTATTATTTGGCTCTGTATGCTAACTGATATCTGCTACGCCTTTGGATATTACCCCTCATCATAAACATTTTTGAACATCTTCTATGTGGAACCAGCCGGACTTGGTGAATCGAGTAGCAGTCAGGTCAGCCTGTGCGACAGTCACTCGCCAGCTAGCCTCCATCATCTCAATGAGCACTTCCGCCCACCGCGTCCACCGCAGGGGAGTGCTGTATTACAGGGCAATGGGGGGAATGCCAACAGCGTTATCCCCGTCAGTGGTATTGTTGGTAGTGGTAGCGGTGGTGGTAATGTTAGTGTTGGCGTATTGACCCGAGCTGCAGCTTCGGCGTCGGCATCAAACTCCTTCGGCAGCTTCTTTGATGGAGCTTCGTCGACAGCCTCCTCCACCACCTCGACGCCCTCTACACCAACTCGTCGACACAATCGGCGCACGCGTCTTCCACCTGTTAAAATATCTTCTGCTGGCCTTGAGGTACACGACATACTACGTAAAATTCAAAAGTGAGTTTCGTATTTGATTTGTCGTGTATCTCTGTTAGAGTTTAACGCCAACAGGTGGCATCTATCTTATATTTGCATTCTGAGCGCCTCGGTTTGTTAAATTAGACCGTTATTTATTGTCTCTTCTGTCTCTGTAGCATCCTTGTGATCTTGTTTGCATTCGTAAATTGGTTGAGTGCTGAGATTTGCCACTGATTTAGTTTATATTTTTGCGCTCCTAGATGCTTCCACATTACTTTGAGCACAAAATTATTAATTTTTGGGGCAAACTGCAATTAATTTTTTGTCCTTTGAATATTATCTCGAGCATATTAGGTTTAGGCGATTGGTTCCGTGTTTTTCTTTTCCGTTTAAAAGCCACGTGCTCAGCCCAAAATACCATTCCATACGCCTTGCTATATTGCACGCAGAGATAACAACAATGTGAGCCTGGACAATCGTCAAATTAACATGGCTATGCAACGCGAGATTCGGCTGCGTAATCGAATCGTCAATCCTCCTTCAGCAGCCTTTAAGGGACCTCAGGCACTCACTGACACCTCGGCAACCGATGCTGAAGACCGTTCCGCTCCTACTGTCTCTGCTACTACCACTGGTGCCACTGTCGGAAACGCTGCTGCCCCAGCTAGTGGTAGCAGTCTCTCAACTGACCTTCGCGTCTAACTGTCGGCCTGCCTTATGTATATAATCGCGGTCTCTGTTGGAGTCACCTGGTCTTTCTCAGCTACTTCACTCCTGTCTCCTCTTCCTCCTCCTTCCTCCTAGTTTATGTAAATAGCCATAAACTCCTATCTATTTCGGTTGTCTTTCTATTCTCCTTTCCCTTCTCGTAATTTATTCAAGTTCGTCTCTAGACCTATTTAGTTGTCGCCCTCCTCCTTCCAATGGCTGTTTTCGCCCTCGTTTTCGATGTTTTAGCAAGCGAAATGGCAGCACTCGGTGTGTTCGGTGTAGTCCCGGTACCGATAGCTCTTTCATCCACGTACTGCAATGTGGTGTTTCACTCCCTGTACCTTGCCCCGCCCTCCTATCTACCCTTTTCTCTTCGAAGTACCTATATGTTAATTAACGCAAGTCAATATCGTGTCTTTCCTTTGTCCCCTCATCGGCAGGCTAGCCTTTTATAGCTGGAGATAATCATGGTTTGTTGGATTTATTCGCATTGTGTTTATGTGTCGGTTCTTGTCCTGTTGGATGGAATCTGCAAGTCAGAAAAGTCTTGTGGGTGTTCATTCTTTGGAACTGTGAATTACTGCTTAAACTAAAAAGTGAACTCATTTGGACCCTGCTATTGTAATGAAAACGTTGTTTCAATGAATTTATGTGAACTACAGGTTGTGTAGCCTCCGTTATTTGTTGACTGGTATTGTGCTGGAGTATGCCTATGGTGAGGCAATTTTGAAGACCCTTTCCCAACTTCTGCGGTCTTCATGCTCCTTGTTTCAGTGAATGCTCTATGGTGGGTGCTGAAGCAAACAGGATTGGATTGGGTTACAGTTTTGATCTTTACCTGTGCAATCCAGTAATTCATCTTCAATCAGTACAAAGGGTTGGTGCCACGACTTCATTTTGCTATCGCGTCTTGCAAACAATTCAGTCGACTAGATAGGCACTGTTTTGAGCACCTTTACTCTCTTATTGTCGAGTGGCTTAGGCTAGCGGCAGAGCTTTTCAGAAAAGAGGTTTGTTGCACTTTCTGAATGCTATTACTAAAGCAAATTAGTCTTCGTAAGCATCGTGTAGAGTTATTGGGGTTGTGAGCAGCTTCCATTTTTTCCTTTATCCATATTGGAAGAGAAGCAATTCGACTGGTAGTTTAAAAAGCGCTTCATTTGTTCGTTTTTGTACAATTTCGGACAGGTTGCGCTAATAGAAAGTAACTGAGAATTATGGTAGTTCCATGTTAAGATTTCCAATTACACAATGGAGACTTATGAAGTGGAAACTGGCGTTGATCGTCAAAATTAGGCGGCAATTTTGTGAAGGTCACCTCCCCTCTCTAAACAATTGGTATTGGCACTTCAAACTTCGTTCCAGTTTTAAATGTCCAAAAGTCTTTCGATTCAATTCACACATTGTGAATATATCTTGACCGCCATTTGGGAGTCTTTCTGCGCAATCATCATTTGGAGCGTTAGCGGCTTTGTGTTCCTGCAGGCATCAGATTGTTCGAATCAAATTTCATCTGGCTTCAATTGCAATAAAGTGTTACTTGACTTTTTAAGTAGAGTGTAGGTCTATACTCCATTTTTAACACGAATTGGTTCCGCAGCAGCCGTTTGACAAAATCCACTAGTGTCACCGCCTACCCCTTTCCAGTTCTAAATATTGAGAACTAACCATGGTGTCATTGTGAATAATTGACGTCGGCACAATTCTCGTTTGCATATCTTTCGAAGGAATATTGTGCTGAGTTGGTCGGATGTTGCACAAAACTCCTTTGAAACACGTCAAATAAATGTCATATGTGCTAAGCGTTTACATGAAATTACATGAATTGTTGCACCATTCAACAAGGAGGTAACAAAGGTTTATTAATCGCAGGAATGTATTTTTCTGAATATGCACACTAGCCGATACGGCTTCCTCACCTGACGCAGAGTGCATAGAACTTTAACCCAACACACTTATTGAGAAGCTCGAAATTTGGAACACAATTTCAAAACGAGTCTTTTTGCGGTTCTTCCGGCTCAGGTGCACATATATTTGTCCCTCACTGTGACGAAAAGCAATAGGTGTGTTTCTAACTACATTAATGGACAAGTGCTACGCGTTCACTTAACTGCTTGCGGTTACAGTGCTATTCGAGCATTTCCTCCAAAACTGGCGCCCTCATCTGTGCAATTCCTCTTAACAGTTTGCATAATTGAATTCCGAATCCATAAAGTAGCGTACTTTATAAATGCCTGTCAGTAAACTACATTCATTCCTAAAATTTGCGACAGCTCAAGGAAGTTAGAGATTCACCGAAAAAGTCATCGACTTAAGGCAATTTCAAGTCTTGTTTATGGTAAAGTCTTTAAAAAAGCATAACCAAATGCCTCATCAATGCTTTGAAACAGTGGATGCTTTTAAGCAGAGGTTTTATGAAAGGAAAAAAATTCTCAGACTCTAAATCGCCCATATACACACTACCATCAGTTCAGTTTATATCCTTACAGCTTAAAAGCTGGGTTGTCTCATCAGGAGGCGTGGGTTTTTTGACTTTCTACCGGTTTTAAAAATCATTTGATAAATGGTGCATAGCAATTATAAGTGTAGGAAGTTTGAAATTGCCTCTTATTTTCCTACTTCAAAGTCTAGATAATTATAAGTTGGGAGTATAAAATGCAAGGATATCATTTTCCCAAAAACCGAAGAACACTTGTGTCCAGAACGTCCATTTTGATGTCCTGTGCCCGCCTCCTTGCGGACAGTCGATGGTAGTGGTGAATGAAGGCATAATTAGTAAGATTATGAGTTGCTTTAAGCCTCATTGAGGCTGCCTCTTCGAAGGGCTTACTGATGTGATGTATGCCCATTTCGAATATGGCATTGGGACGCACAAGACATTTGGAGCGAATCCTATCAATTTTGGTAGAGCGCAGAAGGCTTGCACTCATACTGACACTGGAGCCGTAGAACTTGTATGCAGGGAAGCAGATACCTGGAACATTTCTATCATTCCATAATTCACGAACCAAATCATTCCAATTTGAAATGGTGAAGCTGTGGGGAATGAGAACTTCATCCAAATCACCGAAAAACACATACTCCGTGTCGTAAAGGCTGCGTAGAAGGCAGTCATTCACTGTCATTGTCTGGAGGTAGTACCAGGAGTCTTGTCGAACTGCTCTAGTATTTTCCTGCCAGAACAGAGGATAGAGGTCAATTCTCACTCGATTTTTCAATGACATGATTAGATCTTTCACATTTTTGGAAATGCGCTCACTATAGTAGATTCGAAATTTTGTTACTCCAAGGCGAATGTGAACTCTGAACCACTCGGAGAGAAAGGCTGTGTTCAGGTTCGAAGTGTGGTGCAATGCTGGCACACAAACTGCAAATCGATGCTCAAATTGTGTTGAGGTTATCGATGGTTGTTGAGATGGGAGGGTTTCAATCTTGGAGGCGTTAGCATGGATAACAGGCAATACAATCCTGCCATACTCTGGACTGTCCATCCGTATTGTAACACCTCGCATAAGTTGAGCAAACGGTGGAACGTCACAATGAACGGAATAGCCACCGTAAAGGCGTTGATGATTCTCTGTCAATTCATAGAAAGCAAATGGATTTCCATGAAGATCCCTTGTTGGAACACTGGTCCCGTCAGCAAATAGGCAATACAATCGAGGCTGATAACCGCGTCGTTTGACCAGAATGATTCGTAGAACGCCATTCACATGGCCATAGTAAGATCGAATTTCCGTCTGGTTGTCGCTCAATCTGCGATCAAGAAATACATTAAAAATGGCCAAATTTGCCGAAGAACCAATTTGGCGTAGACTTTGTCCAAGGGGAGGAAGGAGAGATGTCGAATGACTACTTTTGAAGGTGGGAGAGTAGAGAAGGTAGAGGAGGAGGAAGTAGAATGGCAAACCGAGGATACCCAGCAGTAGCTTCTGTTGTCTGCGCATCGAAATCATTAGACTGGGCAGGAGGGATAGGGCTGAGCTCCGCTTGTTTGTATGTCCAAGGATGCCGCCTCGTCCAATGAAAATCGAAGGGCAGGAGAGCAAATCAGACCGTTTGCCCACGTGCACGTAAGAGCAGATTATGAGCAGAATCACTTCCCCACACATCTGCATGCTTTGATGCAGACCTCTGACTAAACGTCAATTTTCCCATCTCCTGTGTCATTTAAAAATATCACTAGAAATTATCGATTTGTTTTATTGATTAGATTTTTAAAAATGAAAGTGATTTGGGATTAGTCATGGGATTAAAATCACTCGAGACTAAGGAGGCCCTTTTTTTGTAGACTTGCCCTTAAGCCGAGTGGTCGCATTGCCATGGACTTAAGCTTGGACAATGTCAGCAGCCTCGAGGTCCTGTCTGTTTGCTAAACTTCGTGTATCATAGCAGTCGGAGAGGACCATAGCAATCACTTAGCCTTCGATGTATGCGCTTTTTACTTCTTTGTGACATCACACCTTTCCTGTGAACAAAAGACAAGTAACATGGTCAATCGGCCAACCTATCCAACTTGGTGGTTCATAACAGAAGCAGAAGGACCAACATTTCCTCTCTTCTTTGGTGTGTCATTTCTAAAATCTTAATTATCCGAACTTTGGCGTCACACAATGCAGTCAGAGCAGAAGGAAACTTCTGCATAAGCCAATCTTGTCAGCCCGCAAATAATAGCTTTTCCCTTTGTCAAATGTGATGGACTTTGAGATTTGTCTGGTCTAAGAATTGGCTAGCACGTGGGTCCATAGCAAGACCTTGCCAAATCCCCTTCAATAAAAATAGTTAGTCCAGTTCCATGACAATATGGTTGGTGCAGTCCCACACCTTCAGCATCCTTAGGAAGATATGGTGGCAAAAATAGCAAATGTATGCCACTGGTCTCACTATCTTTGGTGATACTCACGCCAGAGAGCAGGCCATTAGAATATTTGGTGAGACTAACTTTCATTTTCAGCCTGTCTGTCATTGGTCATCACTCGTCCGCCCATATTTTAAGACTTTCACTTCTCCCATTCACCTGAGGAGGCTGGACATGCTTTTCGTTGCTGCCAATGCAAAGCACCGAGACTGCTCCAAAAGGCAAAAGAATGCGTATGTTGGACGAAAATGAAAATGGTCGTGGTGGTGGTCGTCAACAAAATGTGCACAAAGGCGAAGATAAACATGTCAGTCGGTGTATGTGGGAAGTAAACTCCTTAACAAAAGGGGAATGTTGTACGAGCCCCACTTATGGAGATTTGAAATGGTAAGTAGGGAAATGCAAAGTAATGAAATCGATAGTTCCAAAAGGCAGCCACACTTCATCATGTGCATTGTAAAAGCTCCATCTTCATCACTTGTAGTTGATAATTGTGCTCCAGAATTGTACAAAAAAAGTAAACTAAATGGAATCTATGCCTCTGCATCGAATGAAATTGTGAAGTATCGCACCTAAGAAGGCGATTTGGTTAGACGTAAACGACTAAATTTTTCAAATAAATGAAAATCGCTTATGATGAGTCAGTCGACTCCCCTGACACTAAAAGACATCTTTTCTATACCATTTTATATTTGTAACAACAACAATGAAGATGTTCCGATACAGTCGAACTTTCCTTGCACTGGCTTTAGCTGCTTGTAGAGCGAGAGGCGATCAAATGTTTCCCACATCTTAAGCCAAAGACTCACTCCCGTTTACTACTTTCTCCCCATAATGGGCGATTCGCACGCAAACTTTCGACTCCCACCAGGTTGTTGTAAGTGGTTGCACTGGATCGAGTTACTATATTTATACTCTATCGTATGTTGAGGCGTACGAGACCTCCAACGTTTCCTTCACCTTGCATCTAGCAATGGTGGACAGCTGATGACCACAAAATACTGCCATTAAAAGCGACACATTCCTACAGTTATCAACCTTCGATATTATTTTTTAGTAAACGACCGTAAGAGAACAGTTTTTGTGTTGTTCGTAGAAGCCAAGCGGATAATTCTCCTTTTAATTGTTAAAAGGGAATTGTGAGCGCCTGGGTTTGTAGGTTCAGAACTCTACCCCACTATAAACAAGTGTTTTAATTTATCGCCGAATCGGACCACTTTCACAAATAACATTCATACGTACAAAGCTGAGATAACTCTAACTACTCCATTTAGAACTACATAAACAAATTTTCGTATTTTGAGATGGCACAGAAAACACTTGAAACTTCCAATAGGATGCTGCTTCGGATTATTAATGCTACTAATTACATTTAAGTAAAAGTGTATTTTGTGTAATTTATTTGGGTTACTATGGCTATTTGACAACCTTTGTATCAAGTTGCCTCTGCAATCAAAACCGTCACGCCATGGACGTATGCTTCCAATAGTAGTTTATCTTCTTTCCGAATGCAGAACAATAATAATTTGCTTCATTGGTGAACCGTTTGTGCTTTAATATGTGTAAGGTACCCCATTTCTTTACAACACTTCAACTGAATGACTTTGAAATACACTCATCAAAGCAGCTGCCTCGAATGTCAACTGCTTAGCTTTATTAGCCCAAGGGAAGTAGACTGACAAAATTAAGTTGGAAATGGATAAGGAGCAAATCAAAACTAAATAGGATGGGTACGAAACCCTGAGAACATTTGACAACTAATGTTGCTGTTGTTATGCTTTCCTTCTTCTTAGCCAAGTCAAAGTGTTGTCACTTGTTCAGAATGCGAATCCTTTGTTCAATTGCTCGGCAATAGTAAGATATAAAATCGCTGCCAAGTCATGTTGAATGAACTGCGTGTGATATCTCATTCCAACTACCTACACTTAGGCTATTTGGGGTGTAAATATTTCCAGGATTGATGCTGATTGATGTGTACATAATATGTTACAGGAACTGTCTTACATATTTCAACTCTAGTAACAAAGGTAGTAGATGAGATGCTGCTTAAATCTGACGCAACGTGGCCTTCAAATGAATAAATTTGCATGGTAATTGAAAATGGATAAAATTGAATGCAGAGCGCGTCAATTTGAGAGTTGTTCAAATCCGTCCGCCATAAAGGACACGCCGTGTATCACTGGGCTTTGGAGGGCTGTCATCAACAGTGCTATTCACTTTCAGTAATTTTTTTTAAACTGCACTTAACAAGTGGTGCATGAAACAGCTCTAAGATACATCATCCACAGTCAAGATTAGGTGTGCACCCAAAGTATATCTTGTTTTATAATTAAAGCTATATTGCGTGTCGAAAAAATGCACTTTCTTTGTAGTGTCGCTTTGTTCTCTAATTTGCAGTTTCTCGATGAAAGTCGCAAATTTCTGGAGCGGTAACAACTTATTATGGCGCTATTTTGGTAATTGTTGATTTCACGCACACGTAATTTCAACTTCAAACTTAGCACTAACCTCCTTGACTTGGAGCGGAACCTGTTGCGCTCTGATTGGCTCTGACATTGTAGCCATAGCTGCGGATTGCTTCAATTCACGCGCCTCACTCTCATTGGTGATTTTATTGGCTAATCAAATGTCGATGCCGTACGTGCAGGTCTACGGGTGTCTGTAAAACGGCTTAACGACTGCGCTAAAAACGCATCTTCCTCCACCATGTGATGGGCTTTGTGGTTATTATTAAAGTAAAGTACACATTAGTCCTATGGTTGATGACAATCTTGACGTTCTAATGCAGTATGCGGCTTTTCCAAGCATAACTCGATACCAATTGGTTTATTACCTTGGAGAAATCAAATGCCACTTCTTCGTGTTCCTGAAATAAGCGACGCTTAGACACACAAAAATAGTCCTGACCAGAGATAGACTTTTTGTTATCAACTTGTGTTGTTTCAGTCAGACCAGTCGTGAAATAGGAACGAAAGGCAGTGCACAGCTTCTGCATTCCATAACTTTAGGGCAAGTCACGTGCCACTCCCAACATCTATTTCCAGCTCAGTTATGCCGTAGTTTGGGCTGAGTTTAGTTAAGCGAATAAAAGCAGTGCGTTTTGTCACTGCGTCATTAGTGAAGAAGACACCCCACTCCTAGATTCGCGTGAGTTTATTATTTGAGGTTGCCTGGAGTGTGAATAAGCGCTGATTCTAATCAATTGGATTGATTAACAGGTCCCTGAAGAGACGTTGAAATGCATTTCAGTTCAAGCACTCTTGATCGAAACGGTGAGACCGCCTATTCTCATTCAAAGGTACCCAAGAGAATCCACGAGTCACGATAATGAATTTTCACAGGAACACGGTAGTGACCGCTCAAAATTTCGCCACACGAAGAAGCTTGACAGGCATCGTTGATATTCACGTTGATTGAACTGAGCGCGTAAAGGTTTGATTTTCGAAGCCATTTGAGTACTAAGCTTTTCCCGATACCAGTTGTTGAGACCGTTGATAGCAGACGACTTGTCATTAGCTTTAAATGGAGACTTAAGTTGAGATGGGGTTATCATGTGACTCTATCATCTCATTCTCTTACAAAACACTAAGACGAGCTATTCCCAGATTCTCCAGATTGTTTGTGGCACGAGAAAACGCCCATCAATTAAGCTGGGCAGTCATCAATTAATAAATAGTATCTAGCCTTCGAAAAGTCACAAACGAATTGGGAGATTCAGCACCTTAGTCAATCGTGACGAAAACAAATCATTCAGATCACAGACCACTTTTAAGTCTATGGACGTGTTTGAGGTTGAGGCTAGGTACGGACATCGTTACCTACCTCGGCAGCTAGACACTACAAGAGCTCCAAACGGAATCATTTCCGCTTTCACGGCGAGAACCCAAACCCCAAAATTCACCGCCTGATGGCAAAACCAGATTCGTTTGACTGGTAAACTGTCATCTATGATCATTTTGAATGGAAAAGTGGATTGACAATGGCGCTCTCCATTAGTCGAATACTCACAGGGATATTCCGAGCGGTTATGAACGGGTATACTTAGTTAATTTGGCAGACTAAAGTGAGTTAACTCCCACGAATGCTACGATCCAGTCACCATAGCCTAGTTTGCATTACGTGTGGATGTAAATCATGCGCTTGACTTGGCAAGGAACGCCAAGAGATGACTGCTTAATGTAGTAGTCCATACACCAAAGCCAGCATTACCTGATGGATGCCCTGAGAACTCCCACTTCTAATTACGCCGTACTTCATTTGCTAGTTAAGAGAGCGATACCCTATGATAAAGGTAAAAGACACAGGAATAAAGTCCAGACACTGCTACCTTAAAAATTCTACTATTCTGTCTCATCAAATTAAGGCACTAATTGATGTCCTGCCCTATTCAGCGGCATCAGCACAAACTTGTCAGGCACAAAAAACCAGCTACTGCGACGACCAGTGATGAGTTTCCCGTGCCTCTGTTGCGTTTAGCACAAGCCCACGCCGACGATCGATGATGCAAGCGACTGTGAATGCCATCACCTGATAGTGATTTACATTCACACGTACGCACTCACACAAGCACAGCGTTAAGACGCAACATTTAAGAACCATATCTCAGTACTGCTTTAGTCGAGACCTTATAAATGGAAATGTAGAACATTTAACAAAGATCCCAACACCTTACTCACAACTACTTATCAGCTCTAGGAGGGTGATGTGAGTAGCCAAACATGCCCACAAAACTTGAATAACTGAAACCCAACTTGACCTACAGAGAAATTTTGAAAAAATGACAAATCTGCTCTAAGGTTAATATTATTAAAATAAAGAGCCAGTCTACTATTCCAATCGTCTATTTTACAGTTTTGCCGCGCAACTCAAATTAGAAAACACCTTGGAGATGCAGAAACAATGAGACACCATGGTCGGGAATTGGAAACTAAGTGACTTCAGAACCAGTTGTTGACCCATACTCACACTTCCGCTGCAAAAAAAACACTAGTTGATGTACACACAATAGCTCCAGAGGCTTCACCGAGACCACTCACATAGCAAACCAACATGAAACGAACCCAGGTCTTGTGGACACATCTTCACTTGTCAGTTGTACTACCGCATCACAGCAAACTAGCGTCAATCTGTGGAAACCAACACCGTACCCATATGACCAATGCAAGTATGCTTAAGAGCACAGACCTATCATTTCAAGCGGAGTAGGTGCTTACGAGAAGCAGAAACAACGCCAACCATGCAATGTTCACGCACGAACTAAAAACAATAAGCAAGGTCTAGAAAGCCTGGAAAGAGCCAACCATAAGCAGATAAAACAAAGTTCAAATGATCCCATGACTAAGGTTCAAAATCACATTAAGTCGATTTGAGAACAATTCGAGAAACACTACTTTAGGTGTGAAAACCTCCAGAGAGCAGGAATAAGTCCAGTATAACTAACCCTCAAGGATCATCACATGCGAAAATCATCCAAACATGCTAAAGCCTGATTTAAGGAAAAAAATTACTTAACACTCAAACGATAGTAAACGTTATCATTGCACCAAACAAACGCAGTAAGATGCATACCTTCGCACAAAATTATGATAGGTTAGAGAGGTTACCACATACTTCACAGCTCAATCAAAAGCCGAAATTTCAGTATATAGCAAGACTTCTAAATTTCAGAGGAAACGTCAGTCGCACAATGCTCAGACCAGGCAGAACGGTTCTACATTGCGTACTTCTGAGTCCATTCTTTAGCAGTCTTGTCGTATTTCTGGCGATCTGTTTTGTATGTACGCGCAATATCCGGACTGAGAGGATCATCCGGATTTGGGTCGGTTAAGAGGGAGCATATCGACAACAGCACTAGGGCAAATTACTACAGAGCTATTAAGTACCTTTCGATATAGTTAGCGCCGGAGACCACTGATTCCTTAGAATATCCAGGCATATGTTGCCATTTGAGTTGATATTTGGGTGATATATTCGAGTGGTGAATGTAATCTAGCAGAAACATAATCCAGAAAAATAGAACTCACTTTTGGCGGTTTGAAAGGATAATCGGTGGGAAAATGGATGTCAAGGAAGAAAACTCCCCCCTCGAAAGGGCTGTCTGACTGTAAAGTAACATATGTTAGATGGCGTAGCAACTTACGGGACCCATTATCGTTGCCTGCCAATGAAACACTAAGTCTGCGTGAGAATTATGTACGGCATACTTACAATCGTCACCTACGGGACCAGCCGAGCATTGTGCAGGTGGATCTCGACCCAAATCAGACAACTCCTTTGATCATAGCAACGATAACTCTCACAACCAAGAACTCACCTTATGAATCCTCTTCAGGGCCATACCCAAAGCTGACAATGGCCAGAGAACCGAAACCAAAGCAGTGTCAAACAAAGTAGTTCTTTCAAACGCAAAAATTAAAATGTCATTTGAATGTAAAATAAACAAGCAATGGTCAATAGCATTCTTAATTAAATTTGATTGCAAATACAAAAGCTTAAATTAGCTATTAAGCGCTTAAAACCTAAGGGCTTTTGTCTACAAATACATTGCAATAGAGGGACCATTAGGGTACCTACCTGACATAACCGAAATATTGTTTAATTATGGCACAAAAACATGGTATTGCTGTCCTCTAGCAAAAATAGTACTTAATGGCGTGTTATGCTGCTACGAGTCAATGATCTAGCTTCGCCACGACGGTACAATCCGGCAAGCATATGTACCTTTCTCTGGGAAAGCATAGAATGTACGAAATCTTCTCCTTCCTTCTGTTTGGTTAAAGTAGAGCTTTAGGAACTATTATACGCAATATTTAGAATCATTATGCAACTGCATGCAAACTAAACCAAGCATTAATACTCGAAAGTCTTTCCCGCGTTGCATTGCAATCGTGTTATTACCAAAGGTTTTTTTAGGAAACCAATATGTTGGTAACATTTATTTTCTATTGCTCAATAATAGCTCTATTCTACTTTTGATTTGTCTATTCGCGTAATACCGTCAGAACATTATACCATTAGCATAGATATACCAAATGTTTTGACTTAGCGAACTTAAACTTTGTGGTTTGTATCTACTGCTGTCTGTACGTCCTGGTAGTTCTAGCTTTCACCGGGTCCTTTAAAGCTCTAAACCAGTTTTCGTCATAAGCTATGGATGACCAGAGTAGTAAATTCTTAACGGATAACTTCCTGAAATCCTCTCTGTTTTTACAAGTGTTTAAAGCAAGTGTCGCGCTTTCCGTTCTTCACGCATGTCCCACATTTTTGGAAGAAGATGAGTTCACCCTGCACTTACAGAAACTTAACTGCTTATACGAGCGACATAAAAATCTATCCTTTTTTCATGCGAACCAGTTAAAGCTACCATATTGTGGTAACTTCATTGGAGCAGATTCTCAAGTCATTTGCTATGATAATGGGTCTTCACTGAAGCCCCATGAATGCGTTTTGTCTCAACTCTTGACAAACATTACTGCTATACGTATTGGTTTTTGTGGTCTTCTTGAAACAAACGCTTTAGTGTATGAACAACACATTGTACCTGGGCTGTCTACTATGCTTGAGGCGCTTTCAAGGATGGAACAATACAGCCCAAATTCGGAAGATTCAGATCTCCTAAATCAAATAGCTCATTTACGAGCAGAGGTTTGCAACGCATTTGGAGTGACTGGCGAGATTGTTGCAAAGCTTGATGTGGAAAGACTTTCTACGACGGAAATTGGTCGTTGCCTTTCGTCCATACTAAGCCCAACTTTTACAGTTAAAGAAGAACACTCCGACCGCTGGATATATCCCATCAAGTCCTTTGTAAAGTATTACTGGCGATACGTACGTGAGAACACTGATGGCACAAGAACCCCACATATTGCTAACTTACTGACTAAACACCTCCTTGGTAATCTTTCTCTGTTTCTACAATTGCTCAACCTCGATCCGAACTCCCGATCTCAAAGCTTAAACGACCCGTTTGCAAGGCTATACGCTCTTACAATGCCACTGCTTGATGGATTTAGGCAAAAATCCCACATCAGCAGAGATCTGATCGATGCAATCGGGGAAGCATATGTTACTGTTCAACAGATAAAGACTGACAACAAGGAGCACACACGTCTGAGTAATGGATCATTGCTACTACTTCAATCAATGGAAAACAAATTACAGTTTTTGAATAATCTTTTAGACTAGTTCATCCAATCACTCCCATTTGCAGCACCTCAAGATTTTATTCCACTTGCCTTTAATTATTAATCGGAGCACTTATATTGTATCTGAGAATTAGGAAAAGAAAAACAAAGATATACGTCAGAAGAAACGGGTGGGGAGGAAAGGAAGGCGGTTGATAAGTGTTTATATTTACACAGGAAAGCAGGGATAAACATCTGGAAATGGGACTTCAAGGGTGTGAAACTACGACCTTAAAGCGACCATAGAATGCAGACCAGCGCATGGGATGAATTAGACGATTTCCGCCAGAGGTGGACTGGCGATGTGGTGGTCTTCTTTAGCTATGGAGGGAGGTAATGTCAAATCCATGACATGGCGCCGTCTAGCTATCGTTTCCTCACCAGCCTCCACCTAAACGTAGATTTAAAATGGTGGTTTAAGTGAGAGACATATATCGAATCCTGAGGCACGGTGATTTGATCATGAATTAGGCTCTGGGAGTCGTACATTCTCCTGGGTGAAGTTTTGGAAAGGAGATAGCATAGATTGTTTGGGCGTGCTCACCCACCAATGTGTTGCAGTTATGTGTTTATCAAGATGCAGAAAGTATAAACATTGAGAGGAAAAATTTCAAGACAGCTTGTGCTCAGTAAATTGACTACATGCTCTTAAGAAGTAGGGTTACTTTCAGAGTCCATAACTGGGAAATTAAGTTCAAAAATAAAAGAGCTTGTTTAAATTGACATAATCCTAATTCACCAGGTCATAGATGTCTGATAGAAAACTCGATACATCCACAGGATTTGAAATCCGTAGAGTAGCTAAATTCCTCGTAATTTACCGTATGTGTTCTGTGAAGTTTTTGAAAAAAATACCAAAATTATGCTCTAGCGAGGGGGAAGAAAGTAGTCTAATAGTCTTATTAACCTTGGCATTGACTAAGAGAACTTGCAAATCACCTTCATAAGGACTGCTAATATTAACTCTGCAACATAGAGAGTAAATTCGACGCTACGGTGAGAAATACAAAAATATGATGAACCATGAGAACATACAGTCATAACAACCGACTCTTTCGCTTCGTTTTTGTTCCCTTCGTGATCAATTGGGAAACAGAGCATTGAGGATTTATTAGTATAAGCCTGCGTGTGGACGATCCGAGTTGGCACCAGTGGGATTTGCGCCATGCGTCGCTTTAGATAAGAAAGTCCATTAAATAAGAAATTTGCGTAAAGGGGCAAAAGTAAAAAAAAATAGACCTCACTTCAACTAAAGATGAGGAAGAAGACTGGTTGGCAGCAGAGGCACTGCTCTGTTGAGATTGGCCACAGAGGTGACGAACTAGAGCTCGTTGTATGGTATCCGAAGCAGAGCGACGAAGACTGCCATCTATCGCAATCGTCATCGCCGCCGTCGACAAAGCGGTGTCATTATCAATATCAGTCTCCATGATACCAGCGCTCGGTGGTAATGTGGAGACGGCGATACGATGAGTACGCACGATTGGCAGCATCTGATTGGCTCGTGACCAAGGAGCCGCGAAAGTCGGAGAGGTGATTGGCTTATGTGACGCGGGTTCAGCAGAATCGCGGCGCCAAAGTCGGGTCTTTATGGGTACTAGAGGGATCCTTGATTGCAAAATGCTAAGAGCGTCCAAGATTTCCGTCGGCACTAAAAGATTCTGCCAAAGAAAAGGAAATACAATTAACGATGCCTCGACACTAGGCATGAGAAGTCACTAAAGTAATAGATTGTACAAAATGAATAGGTGCTGCTTCAAAATACAGGAAAGATGAAGAACTGGCAAATTCCATAGACAGAGCATCTGCCATTTAATAGCAGACAAAAACTGATTTAAGAGAAATCAGAATGCCAGGGAAATTTGTATGTTCTTTTATGCTTGGTGTCACAAACGCACAACTAAAATTTCGTTTGATTCAAATGGTAAAGATACCGAAACATTTGTCGTTTTGTCGACTAACTATATTTGCACGCTTCAAATTTATCATAAGGAATTGACAGAAATTGTAAGTGATAGGGTTAGAGGCTTAAGAGAAGTTTTAAAGCATTCTGAGGTTATTGCGCAAACAAACCGGCGAAATAAGCACCCACTGGAGCGTCAACGAAACTTAAAGGGTTACTTTAATAATTAAATTCAAATCAACAACGACAAAACGAAGATCTGTTCATGCACATGTTAAAAATTGCCCAAAATAGCCATCATGTTGTAATAAATGTAAGCTCCGACTAGTCTAATGACAGTGAGTGGGACACTATAAGTACTAGAAAAGAGTGTAATATTTCAAAAGTATTCATGCGTGCGCCAGAGCCATATCGGGCTCTGACTTTAATTGAGATGTTTAGCTCTGATTCCTTGGGAAAAAAATGTGGAATTACCATAGTGGCGGCGGCGGGAGCAGAGAGACATGAGGCGGACTTGTGAACTCCAAGAGAGGCGAGAGAAGGTAGGTGATCATTTCTTCCATTCTGATTGGCTGGAAAGCGACAATGTGCGAACGAGTTATGCCGATAGTTTGGTGACGATCCCTCTATCCGTTTGCCCGGATGTAACGCTTGAGGCGATGATGGAAGGTGTTGCACCAGACTACAGCCATCTAACAAGCGTTGATAGTGGCACAGAGGAATGCAGTTGGTGTGCTTTAAGAGATTACAAAGAAAAACTATCGAGAAGAAGAAATATTAAACAGCGAGGCAGTCTCTTTGGAATTGTTGTTGTAATAACTGCAAATTTTTTCCAAGCTCTACGTGTGAACTTAAAGCAGGAGAAGCTGGATGAAACTCAACCACACTGCAAGGCTGCCAATTTGAAAGAAAAGAAGGACCGAATGTTAAGTTTAGGCTGAAATCAAGGGGTTGCTATGGTATAAAACAGTAAATCTTTAATAGTCTTGCAAAAATACCAAATTATAAGTCATAACAACCCATTATCACAAAGCTTATTAATTTGAAGTCGTAAAAAAAACAAGCGGTCGTAAGCAGAAGGAACAATTTTTTTCCTTTTTATCAAAGATGAAAAAGTGATTAATGCAATTGAAGTGTGATAGAAACATTTAGAATGTCACCGCTTGTGGACTCATAGTTGAAGCGATAGTGTGAGTTTCCTTCGGACTACCTTGTTGATGTACTTCAGAGGCGTGGCTCCGTCTCCAAAATTCACCTCGATGGAGGTGTTAGCGAGGCAGAAGACGGGAGTAAAGGGAGGACTGGACTGATCTCGCCCCCGAGGAATGATAATCACGTCGTCAGCAGTTGTGGAACTGCCAACCGTATGGGAAGCGCAGATCTGCACAATGTGACCAAGGTATTCGCCATTGATGGACCAGAAGATCAAACCGCTTTGTAAATTCAAAATGCAACCAACTGTATCGCTCCTGTGTAGTCCCTGAGGTTGAGGAGAGAAAACAAATGAAAAATTTCTGGTAAAAAACCAGTTTGATTCCTCAAAGAATGGCACAATTACGAATTCCCTTTGAACAGTCTGTACGGGGTACCCTTGAAATCATGCAACCTAGATATGACTACATGGATGCGCTATGATGGCGATTTTCTGTAAACTCTTATGATTTCATTGGATGACTCAAATGTCCACACAATAAACACGCTAAGGAAACCTCAGAAATTGTATTATTGCATGCAAAACGGGAAAGTATTTAAAAATGAAACTCTTTCTTCCAATGACGGCACTCAGAAGGGCAGAAGTTCATTGAAGTTGGAGCTCTTTATATTGTAAAAGTTTGTTTTAAAGCAATTTTGAACTACACTTTTGTGATCTAGGATAAAACTGAACACGCGGGTGAGAAAGTTTCTGACCTTTCCGTAGGGCTGCTTAACTCCCGCATGAACTAGATATGTTTGGTTATCCGAAGCCTGCTCGCACAGAATTCCAAAAGAATCCACACATTCTGCGCCGAATTGACAGGAGGAGGTGGAAGCGGCGAAGGGAGAGGAGGAGGAGGATAAAGATGTATCAAACCCCATAAAAACACCACCTCCGGGAGTAGCAGTGAGGGACTCCAATAGATGCACCTCAAAATAAACACTTGGAAGTTGGGACTTTGAATGCGATTGCTTCTCTGCCGCCACCTCCATTGAAGAGGGAATCGATTCCGAGGCGCGAAGGGTCTGCAGAGCAAAACCCAATTGTTAAATCCAAAATACAAATGGAAGGTATTCCCACTTGAGAAAATATGAAGACATCCACGATTTACAGAAAGGTCACATCAGTCAGCTCCATTGAAGAGAAGTTATTGTGTAAAATACAACCTCAGTAGAACATGTATCAACAGTACGCAGTAGTTTTAGAAGAAACACACACACAATTTGTAACATCTCGTTTTTGTATAATGGATTCTCAACGCACCAATTCATCAGCAAAAGCAAGAATGAATAGAGTCGGTTCAGAGCTCCCACATTAACAAATAACACGAGCTATAGATCCATGAAAATGGAAGAAAGGTACTAATAGCATTGCCTCCAAATGTAGTCAATCGCATAATTCATGTTCAGCTGGAATCTTCATACTCTAAACCCTTCTTACCTGCCAACCCGAATGAAGGATAGCACGAACACAGAGCCCATCAGGAGAAAGTATAGATCCGGAAGAGTTGCCGGAAATAAGATGCCAACCAGTGCGAGGATTTGGAACAAGACGAATAGGCAGATGACCCGCTGCAATGGGACTGGAGGAGCCCCTAGCAGCTACTTCAGCTATGAGATTGGCGGATGCCAAAGGCAACCAACTGGAATGCGAGTTTTCTCCGGTCAAGAGCATTGGCCCATACGCGAATGGTGTGTCACCAAAATTAAAAGTTACAGACGAGTTCTAATGGTGAAGGGGAAAAAAATTAACTAAGATTACATAGCACTTTAATGTAAGTTCTCGAACTCACTCTAATCGCACAAGCAGGAAAGAATACGGTCTCGGAAGGAAATCGAGCGATTGAAATAGTCATGTCAGCGGAAGTTACACCGTTTTTCGTCCAATGTGCCAATCGGACATCGAGATCGAGATAACAACCAATTACATCGCCCTGATATGAACCGATCACGTCAGCACTGGTACCACCAATTATCAGCGCGCCAGAGTGTGAAAAACTGTCTATTCCCTGTTCTCCACTCACTGCAACTTGGAACCAATCCTCATTCAGTGTATCTTTATTTGACAAGGAGAGGATGGATGATGTTTGATAGGCAAAACCTTGCACATCTTCACCGAGAATGAGACTTGCATTCTGAAACAGAAGAGTGCTTCAATAGAAGTTAGGAATATGGAACGTACTAGCAATGCCTAGTAATGTGCTTGCCTCAGTAGCCCAACCAACTCGTACTGGTTCGTTTCCATTCAGGCGTACTTCAAAGAATAATCGGCGCGGACCGAAGGAGAAGGAAGTGTTGGAAGAATATGAACTCTCTGAGACACCCCAGGTGGCACGACAACCGCGCCACTCGGTAGAGGGCATCCTTTCCACCTCTTCTTGACAAGCAGAAAGTCTCCAATCCCGTGAAACGGTCTATTTCGATGTATAGGAATAGATTCCCATTTTACTTTCTGCGAAGTAACAGTGCTTCTGAAGCATCAAAATGACAAACCAAACCGCCAGTGAGCTCAAAGAGCAAGCCATCTGTTGCATCAAGAGGACTCATACGCCACAGCGGACCTGGCAGAGGGGGTCGATTCCATTCAGAGGGGGTGTAGAAAGGTGATATAGGTGGTGAGGCGGATGTCGCGGTAGCAGCTGACAAAGAGGTTGTTTCAAGTCCCTCTACCAATGTCAGAACGCCCAAATCTGTGCTTTGTCCATCTACCTCCGTCGGCTAGAACGGAAGAGTTTAAGTATGCAAAAGAAATTTCCATCCATTACTCAACTACTCTTCGATGGGATGGAAGCTATCCAAAAAGTGGGCAGGTGGAAACGGCAAAAGGTACGTTATACAAACATCCATCTGCATAACCTGTTGACGAATATTTCAATGAGGCAAAAAATTGAATAGTGACATAAACATGTGAATTGTCACCACCTCTACGGCGTCTATTATTTCAGAGCAAAGTACACTGTATCTCTACAAATACATCCTTTACAGGGTGAACTCTTGACCTCACAGCAATGCCACATCAATTTACGCAAACCATTGTATGAAGGAAGGGGAGAGATTTTCTGCCACCTGTAACAAAAAATTCACCTTCCTTTAAGGATGCTTCTAGATACGCCAATAGGTATTGCACTTGTAGCAATTCCTGTCAGGAAATACGTCGTCACCATATTAGGTTTTTTTGTAGCTTTCATCTGTTTTGTCACCATCGTCGTCTCAAAGGAGAGAACTTTATACAGCTGGTGTTCCTAGTAAGGCGACCAAATTGTCAGGCGGAAGGAAGTGGGTGACAAATCCATTATCCATTAATCTTGCCAAAGAATGCATAAAAAGCGAATTATAGAAGCATCCTGTGCAATCTAGTCGTTTCGTTTGATCCTTATGCTTTCACATGATAGAGTTGGCGCGGATTGAAGTACCCTAAAACTAAGTTAGTTGACTACAAATAGAGGACAGACGGGCGTTTTAAATGAATCATGCATTACTCTACTTATTATTGTGCAAAATTTGCCTTTGAACAACCAAAACCTGAATCAAGTGTCTTCCCTGGGGCTAGACTTTTGAAGATTGAGCAGTGTCTATGTCTGAATTTGTCTAAATAAATATTCCCATTCCAGGGATAAAATCCACACAAACAACATCCACAACAAGAGTGCCTTTAGTACACAATGACAGCTGGAGAGGACAATAAAACTCCTGTGATTAATGACAAATACAGAGGATCCAACCCTGACTCACTGATTTAACAATTTCTCCTCAAGATCCTCATGCAAAACTTATCCGACAACATCAAATTCAGCAACAATCTTAACGGATCAGGCTTGAAGGTAGTTTTACATTGTGAACACAATGTTTTCAGCCCTCGTCCAATAAATACAAAAAAAAGAAACGTGCTAGATTTCCACTCATTTCCTACAATGAACGCCCAAGGGAATACATTTGCGGCAGAGAATCAGGGCCTACTCCCCTAAACAAGTTAAGGGAAATATTTGTCGTGGATGGCCAGAGGTCTACCGAAGCTAAGCCCACTTTCAATAACCCTGCAATCACCAAATGAACTGGAACGAAACCTAGATGAATCGCAAGGACGTTAGCTGGGTTTCAATAAACAGAGTTTAAATGGACAAACAAGTAGTCCTGTGAAGCCTCCATATTCAATTCATTAAATGTCCTGAGTGGGCTTAGAAGTTAGGCAGGTAAATAGCCAGCTAGATGCAGATTTAGCCACTAACCTGTTGAAGAACCCGGTCGGATAGAGGAGAGTGCAGATGGCGCGTGGAGAGGAGCTGGGAGGCCCTCCGCACTGGCAAGATGGAGTGCTTACGAAAAAGGCGAAGGAAGAATTTGTGCGCCGACAAGAGGACACGACTTCTTTGGCGGTTCAATGGTGTTGGAATTTCTACAAAAACCCATATATCCTTTTCCTATCCGAACATTTCCCTTTTTCACGATTATAAACCTGCCATCTAGTGACCCATTTCATCTCCCAAAGGCTTAGCATGCAACGCAGGCAAAGTCGATGATGTATGAAATAGCACTCTCCGTTGGGGAATTTCCACCTCATTTGAAAACGGCTTACTCTGAATTTACGTTCAAACGAGGTGAGCTGTGATACAACTTTCGATTTTCAGCATACTTTCTTGGCAGTCTCGATGGTCGACTATTCTAAACCTCGGTTAACCACTAAACTCATCAATACCTGGCTGCAGCAAAAAAATAATGCATCTTTATTTGGCGAGAAGTCCCTTTTAGATCATAATTAAGGGTTGCTGTACGTGTATTGAATATCAGTTCACTGGCTTTCCCACTTTCGATATTATCGTTGACATTTCCACCATACAGATTTGAACGCCGCCCATTTAAAAGAAAAAAATGCTCAACGTGTTAATGGCCTCAGTTTCTCCTCATCAAATTTCACAACCACCTGAAAGCACGATAAGGAGTCCAAGGCGCTCGACTGAAGTGGAAGTAACTAGGACTACTTTATGTGACATCGACTAAAATTAGAACAGCCTACCAGCATGTGGGCCCCGAATGTCAGGTTCGCTAAGGGGCCGGAGTCTAGCATCGAAAGACGAAGCGGTACTGACGCCAGCAGCGACAGGGGAGGCGGCTGGGGACAACGAGGCGGCGGTGGTGGTGATAGTAGGGTGGAGACGCCTCAACCTCGTTCCTGTAGGAAAGGGGAAAGGCTCCTGAGAGGTCCACGAGACCACCCTTTCGCCTCCTTCCAATCGATGCAAACTGAAACAAGGGAAACCAGAATTTGGCTGGTAGACAATGTGTTTAAATTCGCCATTAGGACCATAACAAAACGGTCTCATAAGTAAATGTTTAACTAAGGTAGAAATAAATGGTTAGTTCATGACTTCCAAACGCGATAGTGATTAAACAAAAATCCTTTAAAATGCATTCACTTACAATTCATCAGAGAAATAATTAAAAACGTTGGCAGAATAGAAGCGAAGGAAAATGGAACCCACAGTAGCTAGGCTGAATAAGACACATTTGACTAGGCCACTTTGCTAAGGTCAAGTAGTGACCCCACTATTACGCCAGTCACGCTTGCGCACTTTACTGACAAGTCTACTCACCAGTGAATTTCATCACTCACCGAATGTCCCAACAACTTTTAAAAAAATGTGAAAAATAACGACTAAACCATTACTGACTTCAAGTTCCATATAGTGAAGTGCAAAGAGTGTGATAAGTGTGTTGACAATAATGCTCCTCTAATTTGATCCGATGCAGTTTTTCAAGTGTTCTTGAAATCAACACAATATATGCGACGGAGATGGCTGCTATTAAATAAGCTCCAAAATTTTAGTGCAATAGCAGAGATTTGGGTTTACCACCACCGAAAATGTCGCCTTCCGGTTGGCTTACAATCGAAAAGATCATCAAGAAAAAACATTAAAGTATTTAAGTACAAACGTGTTTCTAGTCTACCAAGGCATCTGGAAGGGACAAGAACGTGTTCACTTTTATCACATCTGGCATGAATCCTTTTGGAAAACACCTCACGGTACACAAGTGACTTAAGACTAGAAGTAAATCAGTGCGCAAAAAGGCTTGCAATTAAAAGAGGAGCAATGATGAAGGCATGAGGTTGGGTGTCCGTGGTTGAGATGAAGACTTACCGAAAGAGGGCGTGGTGATCGACGCAAGAGCGGTAGATGCGCTTCGCTAGAGCCGTGGTGCCACAGTCATACCTCACCACGCGAACCAGTCCATCCTTCTACAATGTGCATCGGCAAAACTCATCTAATCGCCCTTCTTCACCCTTACTTAGGGCGCTTGACTTGGGACATCATCCTCCAACCCAATAGCTCATGCTCATTACGGACGACTGCGTGCATCAAAGCTACCATTGAAACGACACAAATCAACTGATGCGTTGTTTTCAAACTTCAAATCACTACCTCACTGTGAGAATGCCCTTTAACTACTTCGAGCAGGTACACTAAATAATTCCTCACTTGAGAGTTAATTTAGAGCCGCTTTTCAAGCACATCACAAGGCACAGTGAAATCTCCTTTGCAGCCATTAAACTATTCTGAGCAAACCCCATTTCCAGGGGGCGAGGATGAATGTGAGGTGTAAAAGATTCCGTGTGTGGATGGATAGGAGGCAAAAGTGTTTACTCGAAATATCATTTCGGGAGTTGACTACCGTTATGCAAAAGCAAAACCGCATCCGCACCTTTAATGCGCTTGTGAACTCAGAGCTATACAAATAGGTGAGATAGTTGCCACCAACCCAAATTGCTGCAAACATCACATTGACTTCCATGTTATTAAAAAGAACAAGCAAAAATGAGTTTCAGAGGCGAAACGAATGAATTTTCAGCAATAAGAATTTGTTTTCCACGAGGTGAGTAAATCTGGGATTGTTATTGGAAAGACAATAGACTTTTGCCTATTCCAGGCATCTATTGAAATTGGTAATCAAGATGCCGCCACTCAGTTATCAGCATTAGTAGCCAAAGGTCAAAGCTAAGAATAATCCCCAACTTAAGTTTCCATGTCTACGAAAAAATAATGAATGAGATAGTATGAGACATTGAAAATCAGACCCTGGAGTCATTAAAATGCACCCCACCTCGGAGTTGGCAAGCCGTAAGCACAAGCGGAATGAAGCGTGTCGGTAGGCCATCTTCACAATTGCCGACCACGGGTGATACCTCAACCGTAGTCGACCTCGATAGACGTAAATTCCACCGTGGAATACGCCAAGGAAGCATGGATACTGGTGAAGGTGATCGGGAAGCAACGTTGATGGATCACATATGTCGCTCGGAGCTGGTGAATTAGTGGAGTACAAAACACCTTAAAGTGATTCCCTTTGTTCGGTGTGAAAAGGAGATCGACATCTTACCATCAGTCGGGATGGAAATGTTTGAATCAGCTTTTGGCAGATGAGATGGTGAAAGGCTTATTCGGCTTCGTGACCTAGTTACAGCCTTGAGACGCAAACTCTGGGATCTTTGAATGCTCGTTTCTTTGGAGAGTCGAGTCAATTTAATATGGACCGTAGAGCTTGTTGAATTCTGAACACAAAAAACAAACAGTATCAGTGTATAATCTTTATATGAAGAGTGCAGGTATCTTGATAAGCACAAGGAGGAACATTTATCACAGGTAAATCTCGTCTTTCCAAAAATGCAAGAGCATAGACATGAGAAAAGAGATGTGGGCAAAAGCATTAATCCTGGTAAGAACACGGTGAATGTCAAACCCCTTGACTCCAATACTAGTAAACGCCATGCAACAGATTTATGAATACATTTAAGTCGAGGACTGAACCCCGTAAATGGAAAAGCTTGTCCAGTTGTGATGCGAAAAATTGCGCAAGAAGCATTAAGTTGACCATTTGATCGCCTACAAACTTAACTTCGTCTTCGAGAGTAAAAAAGCCTACATTCGAAAAAAAGTGGCTAAAAGGTGACGATACCCACTGGCATTCCCACAGGAAAGGGTTGAAAAGCAATGTATCAAAACAAATTCCTCCCTCTGAACCAGTGCAACTTTTAAGGAGCTACTGTACAAGCAAAACTTGAGCGAGTTTTTCTGGGATAGGATAAATGAAGGAGTTTAATCGACACGCAAATACCCCAGTGAATGACAAAAAAGGGGCCAGTAGAAAATGCCATGCAAGACACGTGACCTGGCATCACTAAACGCAAGCCCAAATGACGTTTTGAAGCAACGAAGTTAATGTAGTGATTAGATAAGTCTTGCATTCCGCATACATTGGGGTGACGATTTTCACTGTATACCAAGGAGTCCGTAACGTTATACCATCTAATTTGTGAAAAATGGCTTCTACAAAAAGTTAATAAACAACGCTGTAATAAAAAACCATTTACGGACTAGGACGCGCCGGTCAAGGAGAAAAGGCCATCTAGTGCGCAAGGTGAGATGAAAATGCTAGTGAAGTTTCGGAGAAGGATACAAAACCCCTTCCATTTAAACAACATTTGATTGTTCAGGTGAGAAAACGTAGCTCTGGAGCTTTAAGTGTTAATATGTTGCGCCGACCAAAGATTGGAGAGAGGAGAATGGCTTCGCACTGTGTTTAGAATATACGCCACAGTTTTTACCTTCAAGGGGGTAGCATTAAATGTTGATAGAAAGATCCTTCCCAAAGTATAAAATTCGTAAATGTTAAGTACAACAACAGGATAGATGTTCAAAGAGCATTATCTGCCTTTTCCATTCTACGGGATGAAAATATTTTGTTCGCTTATTCTTGTTAAAGAAATAGCATGCATTGATACTTGAAGAGCTCCAGATGAGGTTCACTGACAAAAGATGCTGCCCAAAGCATGTTTGTGATGAATGGAAAAAACTCACCAGGATCCGGTGAAAGTCAATTCCGTAGGTTGCCAGCTTTCGTGCCGTTTGAAGGAAAAGCAAATCAGCACGTGATGGAATTAAGCCCCTGAAATGCAAAAACAGCAATATTTCGGCAAACAAGTTCCTCCCCATTGAAAAGGATTTGCATCGACACGAAATATTAATATTGAAAGCTTTTATAGGCGCAAAATGTTTAAGTCGAATCCGTCAAGTAAAAGGCGGTGCGAGCTTCACAATTGGATGCAGGTCCATCCAAGTATGGCCTTGAATAAATGTCACCATCCAGAAGGATCAGGATGGTGGCATTCAGATACGCATAAAGAGGACAGTGCTGAATTTCAAGTTCTTCATCTAAAGACATTATAGTAGAATAATTGATAAGGACCACATTGCGTTGCGATTGCTTGGTTTACACTTTTGTCGCCAGGAGAAGTTGATTGTTGTGCTGAAACACTTCTAAGATAACTGAAAGTACGCAGTGGAACGATGGTTCCCTATCCCTCACTCTCACCCACCTACCTCCCGTCCGACATTTTGAGCCCAAGCATGCATTGGTCTGAAAACGACAGATAAACAATGCATTTCGGATCACTGCGGTGCTGCAACCCAGATGCCCAAATCAATCTTCGTCACTCCCGAATGTTTGAAATGGGAAAATATATACTGCTAAAAATTGCATGAGTTAGTGCAGCCCGGAGACATGTTCAGTGCCTCATCCTATCTGGGAGACAGAGAGGCTAAAATTAGTCTGCCTCGTTGACCTCCACTCGTCACAAAGGGACCGCATCTTGATGCGTCTTTAATAAGACTAATTTTATTGCATGCTGACGAGCATAGGAAGGATGATAGTGAAACTGCCATTGAGAGGTTTAGGCAGTTCGCATTTCGACACGTTTAATCATGTGGAATTTTGCTTTCACATCGTTAAAACCTCATTCCTTAAGAAGGCCAAAAACAGTATTGTAACCTACTTTAGTTCAACTGTGTGAGACGTGATTTAGCGTTACAAAAGTGGAGGCATTTCAATGTGAAATGATCGTTAAAATAATTTGTTTATTGCATTGATCACGAAACTGAAAAAAAGTGTTCAAATTTTACAACATAAAGGATTATGTGAGTGTGAACTGGCGATGAGTGTGAGCAGCTATGATGAAGCTCGAAATCCCATTGAAGTCTTTGGAGGCAAGTAATGAAGCAAACTAGCAATTGTACCCTATTTCCCACAGGAGACTGCAAAAGTCGAGAAAAAAGATTTCCATAATAGCATACAAACCACCAATACTAAGCAAGGTAGAAGTGAGTAACATATCTAGATTTTGAAGAGGTTGAAATAATGGAGAACGAAGAACTTCGAGTGGGAAACTGAAAGCAGGTAGAGAGGATAAATTAATTCAAAGTTGATTTACTTATATTACAAGAGGGCACACAAAATGAGTCTCCATCACCTGACCCCTAATCAGCAACTTCTAAGTCAACATGTCCGATTTATTCCAGACCCACCGAATTCCAGGGCAAGCTGTATGACTGCATGTCCCTTTGGTATTATTCAAAAGTACTGAGCAGTAACAGTAGAACTAATGTGATTTACCAATTTTGTCAGCACTCAATACATGACGGCGCTGGGAAAAAACTAAAGTTTTCAAAATAACAAGATTTGTAATGCCAACCTAATTTAGCGATGAATAAAGGATAAGGGTAAAACAAGGTCACCTGAGAGCACGGTGGAAGAAAGCGACTTGTTGAAGGAAGGATGTAGTGAGATGTACCAAGGGTGGAGGTTGAGGTGGGCCGGACCGAGAGGTGCACCACCATCGCTCCTCTGTTCCCCCCATACCGCCACCATCAGCGTCACCAGTAGAGGACAGAGCGGGGGGCGCAGCGAGGCAAAGGGGAGTGAGGTAATCCGATGACGGAGAGGTACCCACAACGTGGAGATCCCAATCACCTAGCTCCGACTGCGCCCAATACGCCGCCAGAAGAGTGTAAGTAAAGAAGGAGCAGGCCAGTCTAGCACAAAAAGTTAAGAATGAGATAAACAAGAATGTTGAATTGAAAGAGAATGTGAAACTCAATTCACACTAAATCATCGTAAAGTAGTCGTTCGTCTTGAATGAATTGGCAGACCAAACAATGATTTAAAAAAAAAATCGAAAAAAACCAACAATTTAAATACATTTGAAAAACAAATATATCACAATTCACATAAGACAGCATTGGAAATGACACATCGACATCGAAATATGCACAAATGCAGCATGAGGACGGAAAGGCGCTAAAATCACAACAATAGCTTCCTTTTGCGCAGGTACACAGCATAAGTAACTCAACTTGCCTCCGTTTAAATGCGTACCGAACGATCTTTGACAATAGCGTCTGTCAATACGCACAAGCGGGCCAATTATGGTGTATACTGGATGGAGAGACACAAAACTTCAGTATGATGGCTACCAGAGTTCCGCATCACTTCTACGAGTGGAATGCATAGCGTTCGGTGGAAAAAAACGTGCTACAAAGCACACCCATACACACACGCATACAGTCGGAGGCCACTCCATGCAAACAGCCATGGGAGGAGGGTTGTCGTCACAACTGGGGTACCCTTTTCCACTCCCAATCTCCGCGTCTGCAATTCCCATAGTGACGATCGTCGACAACATCCTCTTAAGGCGGCACAAAGTCAAGCACACAAACTCATGCAAAGTGAACAAAAGTCGCTCCACTTTTTGACGGCTTACATCCGTCACGGGTGTGGCTCGTTGGGAGATCATCTTGGTCAGACGGTTCACCTTCCTTCTCGTACTTCAATGTGTGCGTGTGTGTGTGCTGTCGATTTGCATCACACGTTGTACATGTGTTCCCTAACTTTTTCAATCACACTCCACCATATTCGATCAACTCTCCCTCCAAACACTTATCTTTGTCGTATTATTGGTGAGTTCACTGCGGAAGGTATGGGTGGTAGGTAGAAGCATGACATCCTAAGGCAATCACAATTATGCATTATGCTTGCACTGACAGTCCTCTCATTGCAGCGCCAACACAAAGGTGAATTCTTCTTTGTTGATGGGACTCGCTCCGACCCCATCAATAGTGATGTCATCACTAATACTAATGTAGCCTCACTGTGTCTAGTGTGGCATTCAGTCCTCCTGTTGGAAGGAGTAATTTGTTTGGCCGTTGTTGGCAAAACTCTGTGAGGAGTTGGCGTCGAGCCTAACACTGTCCATGTCGTTCAACTCTCGTGCAGAAATCGGCAACTGGATCGGACCTCTTTCAGGAAGTGTGTCGGTACCTTGGTCTGCGGGAGGTTGAGTTCTTTGGCCTCTACTTTTACAAGCATCCCTTGGCCGATGTTGCAGACGTCAGTGCCCCCTTGGCGTCCTTCACCAAACGAATGCCATGGCGGATGGAGATTGTGGAACAGCGCGCCATTCATCACCGTTTATCTCACTTTACCTTCTATCTCCCACAGGAACTGTTTTATTGCCTTTGGATGATTAACTACCCATCATTTCAGGTGAAATTATAAGCACGGAAAGCATTGATGGCAACGCATTACACTCATAAAAATAAGGTCAGAATAAGTAAACCGCTTTCAAAGGAGTGTATGAAAGGCGAGTGTTGAGAGGACATACCTCCCGGAGAGCAGATCCTTTCGCAATTGCAAACATAGGAGGTAGCGCGTCATTTCGTCATAAATGTCCTCATGTGGCTTGGGTGGATAGATGCGGACACCGAACCAAAATTGTGTGTTTCCTGGAGTGGAATTCGAAGTTCTTCAAGCATAACCAATTTTAATAACGTTTTGTTTTAGCTATTAGGCCTAAATAAAGATCAACTGCGAGTTGATTGGCTGAAGTGGATGGAGCGCACATGAAGATGAACTAATTTTTGCCCTTAAAAGGTCACTAACGGTGTGTTTATGCTTCATGCATTAAATTCAGCACTTCATAGCAGTTTTCTAAAATGCTCTTCTCCCGTGCAAAAGTGCCATTCCTACGTGAAAGCTTTTCTTCGGACTAGTTACTTCAGCCATAATTTTTGACCGAAGGCAAAAGTAGCTATCAGACCCAGGAACACCTACTTAACTCAATTGCTCATTGTGGGCATAAATTGGTGGGGAAAGGAGTGTCCATCTATTGCACCTATTCGTCAGTGAAACAGCCTACAAGAGCACTTGATTGTCTAAATGCGTCTATTTACATATCTTTACTGTTTTGGAAGCAAAGAAATCGGAAAACTTTTAATGTCCTTCAGATGGAGTGTATGAGCCTTGATGGCACTCCGATAAGACACGGTCGGTATAACCTTGAAATAAACCCAACATCGAAACGGACCGACTGATCACCAAAATGCACTCGTCACAGCACCGCATTCCCTTAATCAACTTTCCACAAAAATACACTTTCAATGAACAGAAATCCACCCTTTCTGCTGCATAACTGCAGCAATATATCCAATCCCATTACGTAAATGCTCCCCATTTTATCAATTATTGGTACACTAGTCAGTGTAGAGATATGGCAATCGAAATCATCGCAGCTAAGATTCGGCATAAGATGGAGCTACAGAGTGTAATACAATCGCTTTCCACCAACTCAAAAGTTGTGTGTGGTGGACGCCAGTAAGGTCATTCCTTTCATACCCACGCCTTCCTAAATTCTTTGGCTGGAGCAGTATAGACAGGCCTACAAGTCACCTCTGAGGCAACAATTTGGAACTGCCCTTATTAACACACACGTCAGATAGCTCATAGCCTATGTCCATCGGCCTTGGCTCCTCGAGCATTTACTGTCAGCAACCACCACGACGATCGAGGCAAAGCCAGACATGAAGTCCACTTGATCACTTCTAAAATTGATCGTAATGACACTTCCGGTGAACTCTGATGAGCCTAGTTTACCGCCACGTTCTGCTAGGAAACTGCACCGAAAGGATTTACCTGAGCTCTAAAGATTGGACGATGTTGTACAAAAAAGCATATACCATGGTTTTATGCCTCCTTTGACTATAAATGAAACTTGGCACATTAGGTAGGTATGTCAGACCTTAAGATGACAACACAGTTAATTGTACTGTCACTCTGTTAATAAACTCAAATCCGAACTTGACCCTCCAGTAACAGTTAAAAGTCAATGGGATGTCACTAACTCTCATGACAGCCCTTTTTTAATGATGTTTTGTGGAGCAACTAGCCAATCTATGCGGATGTGGAAGTCAGTGTGGAAATGAGAATTAGACTCGTGAACTTAGCAGCTGCACTATAGTCATAAAGAATTGTGAAGTGCTGCAAGTGACAGTAAGACAATGCCTTGTATAATCACAAGAGCGAAACTATTTGGTCCCGCTAGCAAAGTAATAAAGCATGCCAAAGAAAAGAGACGGAATCCATTAGGGTATTGATCGGGGAGGAGAGACACATTGAGGAAAGATTGCATGAATTTTGTAATTTCACACGGTCAGAAACTAATTAACATGGGAGCTTACTAGTGAGATGGACAAATAGACAGCACCTCATTGTGGAAGGAGTAGATAGTTTTCCTCTCCTCAAATATGGCTTGGTTAAGAAGAATATAAACAAGTAAGGAAAGTGTGACTTACTCCTACATTGATCCACTACTTTTCGATCCATCTTCAACCAAAACTGCAGAAAAAGGAAGAATGAGATTATCAGCAATCATTTGAGTAGTCTCACAGCCCCCTCCTAGCTTTACCACTGAGCTACGGGTATAAAAGCCGAATCGCAAAGAGCGATGAAGCTCTCCTTTACCATTCAAAAGGGATACATGATGGCAAAAAATAATGCATAAATTCATCAGATGAATGCATGGGGGGGAGAGGGAGTCGCTAATTGTTAAGCGGCAGTGCAACCTAAAATGGTGAGACGTTTTGTGAAAAGCGATTAGCTTCCAACTTAGAAAAAAAACACCTAAAATGGCAATTGCTTGTGTACATGAAAGTTTTCGCCTTCCGAAGCCCATAAAATATAATGGATTCCTAGAAAACACACTTATTTTTGTAGCATTTGTTCACATCGCGTTTCAAACCTCATGCGTTTGGTTCATGTTATGACTACAAACTGCATCGTCTCTGTTACCTATTAAAGGTACTTTACTGAGAATGCTGAACTTTGTTTTGAACGGCGATGTTCATTGTTAACAATATGTCCGTAGTTATTAAACAAGGTGACAAAGATTAAAGTAGACATTTCCATTAATCCTCCCTTTCTCTCCAATTGGAGGAGAAAATAAGCAAACGACCCGCTCCCCTTTAACCCTATTCCTGTACCGCTGTTTCAGAATGGAAATAATCGCGTAACATGAACCGCAAGAACAACCGACTTGGCACACTCAAATCGTAATTTTGGGCAATTTTACAATCGTAGGCGTGAAAATGTCAAAGAATTTTCTTTGAAAATGGCGCTAGCTTAACCGTATAGGTTCACCTCAATGGTGCAATGTTCACTTTCATGGGGAAAGTCAATCCGTTGAGGCACAACGAAAATATGGATTACTTCATATGTCGCGCCTTCACATTCAACTACATTAAAAGATTGAGAAGTTTGTGGATAGGAATTTTGAGGATAGTTTAAAACTCGAAGCTCTAAATGGGTGCATTTGTGGCACATTAACCATATAGGTTTGCGGTCAGTAAACTGCAAGATCTCCTTTCAAAGCAAATATTCTACACTACTTAACCCGTTGGTTCCAACATCAAATTAGAGTACGGACTCAAGGCAGCCTATTTATTCCATTTCGCACTGTTATACTCGTCGGCAAGTTATCAGGTCAGAGAAGAGGACAATTGACACGTGTGATTGCAACGAAAACTATCAGAAAGCAAAAGACCATTGTGAGTTGCGATCCATATACCATGTAACTGAATGAAGAAACTCGTCCAGAGAAAGTGAAAAAATCACAGAGCGCACGACTGGTATGACAAACCGGAATGTTGGTGGTCTGAAGGACAGCCGCTGAAATCTCTCCAAGCACATTGTTGACTGAGTTCCCTAAAATGTCATCTTTCCCGATCTACTTTGATTTAAGCACAGAAGCACTTCCTAGTGACAAAAACATTCCACTCAACAAGTCTTGTTTGACGTTTTTTTGAAACAAGGAAGCAGTTAAACCGATACCAGGGGAAGAAAGTCGCGGGAAAAGCATTGGTTCTTGGTTGAGTTTCCAAGGCAGAGTCAGTTCACCCGAAATCATTCGCATGCAAACGACAGGAGAACACATAGGGCACGATAAGACACCTCTAAGGCCCTGAATAATGAAGGAAGAATTGCTTCAACAGATAACACCTTTGAATATGAATACTACTTGACCAATCGGGTAACTTGCCAACGAATAAAGTAGGATTCACTATCAGATGCTCGATTTGGCGACAGATTACAAATGCAGGCTCAAAGATCCTTTTCGGGTTCCACAAGATGAATTTTACTCTTCACATTCACAGCTCCAGATTTTAGGCTGCTAATTGCTTATTCATTAAGATAATGTAATGCGAGGCCAGAGGAAGTGCTCCGCTTGACGAAACAGGTCAACGAGAAACAAGAGCAGTTTGAACATGCTCAGTTCAACACATTCCAAAATTCTAGATCGCTGATAGTACAAAATGCATGAATCAACGCCAAAAAAAAAAGAAAATTTGCCCTAGTACGACAATCAACTGGTCAATAGAAATGAGTTCATTTACTCAAATGGCCTACAACAGGTACTTTACTCCAGGTTCCGTAAAAACAACCACCATAAAGAGTATGAAGCAGAGTTTCAAAAGCAGAATCATCCAAAAATTATTCCTCAAGGTCAAAGATAGTACTGTTTCTAGTGTAGCAAAGTAAACTGATGCTATCGTCATGAAGGCATGGAAGTAGAAGTCAAAAGGCATAGCATAAGAATACGTTTAATTTTGTAACTCGAGTGAGGGGAGACTCACAACCATTATGAGGACCACATTAAAGGTAAGAAAGCTAATCGTAAGGAAGATGGAGCATTAAGAATATCGTGTAGGAGATGGAAGGTAAAGTGAGATAAACGATAGCAACAAAACTCTTACCGGAACACCACGGTGATGAATGGCGCGCTGTTCCACAACCTCCATCCGCCATGGCATTCGTTTGGTGAAGGACGCCAAGGAGGCACTGACGTCTGCAACATCGGCCAAGGGATGCTTGTAAAAGTAGAGGCCAAAGAACTCAACCTCCCGCAGACCAAGGTACCGACACACTTCCTGAAAGAGGTCCGATCCAGTTGCCGATTTCTGCACGAGAGTTGAACGACATGGACAGTGTTAGGCTCGACGCCAACTCCTCACAGAGTTTTGCCAACAACGGCCAAACAAATTACTCCTTCCAACAGGAGGACTGAATGCCACACTAGACACAGTGAGGCTACATTAGTATTAGTGATGACATCACTATTGATGGGGTCGGAGCGAGTCCCATCAACAAAGAAGAATTCACCTTTGTGTTGGCGCTGCAATGAGAGGACTGTCAGTGCAAGCATAATGCATAATTGTGATTGCCTTAAGATGTCACCCATACCTTCCGCAGTGAACTCACCAATAATACGACAAAGATAAGTGTTTGGAGGGAGAGTTGATCGAATATGGTGGAGTGTGATTGAGAAAGTTAGGGAACACATGTACAACGTGTGATGCAAATCGACAGCACACACACACGCACACACACACATTGAAGTACGAGAAGGAAGGTGAACCGTCTGACCAAGATGATCTCCCAACGAGCCACACCCGTGACGGATGTAAGCCGTCAAAAAGTGGAGCGACTTTTGTTCACTTTGCATGAGTTTGTGTGCTTGACTTTGTGCCGCCTTAAGAGGATGTTGTCGACGATCGTCACTATGGGAATTGCAGACGAGGAGATTGGGAGTGGAAAAGAGTACCCGAGTTGTGACGACAACCCTCCTCCCATGGCTGTTTGCATGGAGTGGCCTCCGACTGTATGCATGTGTGTATGGGTGTGCTTTGTAGCACGTTTTTTTCCACCGAACGCTATGCATTCCACCCGTAGAAGTGATGCGGAACTCTGGTAGCCATCATACTGAAGTTTTGGCTCGTTAGCAACCTCACTTTCTTTTGGGCTCAGCTTTTGTTCTTCGGATGCCCCCGTAGTGCAGCATTCGAAGTGGCCGGTACTCGAATGAAGGTTGCTATGACTTCTCGACGCTATGCGATATGCGATGGACACACGTTGTTAGCGTGGACACACTGTTTGCACTCTGTGAGAGTGTATAAAGGACGTGGTTTCAAGACTACATCACGAAAATAAGGAATAGGAAGCGTGAATGCGAGAGCTTTTAGTTTGGGAAAAGTTGGAGCTACGTGCGTTAACAGCAACTCACAACGCTGAAGGAAAAACAGAATGAAGCTCGCGATAGTGTTAATAAACGTTTCTCTAAGACGGTGGGATCAAAGTACTTGGGAAGCGTGACCGTTCCACTATGACACCACATGGATCTGTGAGCCAGGAGTGGGAGTTGTCATAAAATGGAGGCTTGAATAGAACAATGCCCAGAGTTGGCTGAAAATGCAAACTGCCATTCTGCAAAATACTCGTACCGACATCCTGACAACAGCTTACCTAATGTGTTTAGCATGAATCTCTCGAGGTGGACTACCTAAATTTGCTGCAAGCCTTCTGAAAACACGGATGTGAGATGCAAAGAAACAGACAGTGAGTTAAAGGAATTGTAAATAAACTGGGTGGTTTAAAATTTGCGTACGAGCTACTCAATTCCTCTTGCAAGTCCAATGACGCAGGTATGCGGTGAGGTAACAACGGAAATGAAATTATAAGCACAAATGCCTAAAACAATCACATCTGCACATTCCAGTACTGTGAACCAGAGGGTTATAAAAGGTGCTGCACTTTCCCTTAAGTAAGTTACGCAGCATCGTGATGAAAGCAAGTAGTTCATTTGTAAACCATTTGAATTCCACATTTACTCCAAGCAAAAGTGAATTTAACGCATTGCAAATACCTTTAGCATGCAAAGAGGCCCAAATTCAGCAAACACTTTAGGACGAAACTCTCGTCCATTCTTCGGCCTTTTCTTGAATAGGACCATAAACGAGGAGTGTTAATTGACTCAAAAAATCAATTTTGTGGAGAGCTGTAGAACTAAGGGCCAGCTCAAAAAGTTTTTCGCATTTCCCACACCACAATTTTGAAGAGAAGCCGCTGCTGTGCAAGTGTAATCAAAGCTTTGCTTGTAATTGGGGAAAACCATATGGAATAGCCTGTTCGGATTGGCCGCAGAAACCGAGTTATATGTGCTGACAGCTGGGTCCCATTACTACAGCAGTTTGAGACATAATGATCGTATGACATCAAAACTGAATGGAGAGAATGGAATTGGCAAAAGTCAGTGCTAGTAAATAAGTTCCTAAAAGTCTCACAAAATTCCAAACAATTTGCCTCACGAGGTGTCAAGAACTTGGACATTTGGGCTGGACCTGCAAAACAAGGATAGGTTGCAGGCAAACACTTATCAACAGGATCCTATAAGGTGCATAAAAAATGCTTAGTCAACAAAAACATTTTGAGGACCGAAATACAGTTGAGCCTTAAACACTGTAGAAAAAAAAATGTTATTTCATCGAGGTTCCCCATGTAAAGAAATGAAAGGTGCTACGACGCGGCGGAAAATGCTATGATGTGGTATTAGCAGTCAGAAACAAAGAACATTCGGATGCTACTAAAATGCCGAGCCGTTAAGTGCAGTCACCATCTAGGGATGCAGCCTAAACCCGCATAAACTGCCAAACATCTGCGGTTCCATATTTCAAGTTTTTGTTGTTTACAATCTCTCAGCAAGTGGCAGCCCTAACTTCCCACAAGATTATGAAGTTGATGGGACATAGAAAAGAACAGTGAATGTGAAAATGACGGAGTTATCTAAGGGGAGTTGATACAAATATGTTAGCAGGCCGAAAGATGAGAAACAAAATAGGTATGAAAAACATCAGTTTCAACTTTAAAAGAAATGTTCGAGAGGAAGCAGAGAGACAATAAGTAAAATATTTGGACCCACTTTTAGAGGCACTTCAAGAGACTCCTCATCGAGGAGGATGATTCGGTAAATACGTGTGATACGGCGACCCGAAGATGTGGAGTCCAGTGGCCGTGGAAAGGTGTTTCTACGGGCCAGACTGGCTCCACGCGAGCGGGCAGTAAAGGCAGCGGAGGAAGAGGTAACTGTAATAGAAGGTGCCGCATTTAAGGTTGTGCTATCCCCCTCATCTCCCCTCTGGTAGGGGAGGGTGGAACTACGCACCGAACCCAACTGCGGCGGTTCGACATGAAGAACGGTATTGGTTGAGATATTTGAAGAAAATGTGTTCTCCTGTTGAAGTAAGGGCAAAAAGTAATTTTAAAAGAGCATACTGTACATCCATTCATTATGACAGTAGACATTGTCACCGCATGCCACAGTGGCAAATACAATGGCTTTTGATTGTATCACTTTGAAATTCCAAATTGGAAAACGACGTAGCTACAAAAAAGCCGTTAATTTCTAGGAAAATAATAAAACGAACAGCCGATATTACATGGATAATAAGAGAAAGAAGTCAAGAAAGGACATGCACAACGCTTTAGATCTTTTTGATCCACGATGAATAAATGTTAGTTTATATCAACCGACTGGCAAACAAGAACGAAGACACCCTAAGTCTCCAAACAAACAGATTTAGCATAAAACATATTCCCAACGCAGCTACAGACAAAGCATGAGGCTTTAAAACAACTCCAGCAAAGCTTTTGAAGCTTTGAAGCAATTAATAAGCAGTAGATATCAGACTAGGAAAAAAGATCACAAAAACAGCTTTAAGGCACCAAACGGGTGCAAAAACGTCGTCGAAGTTGGTAATTGCAGAGAAAGAAACAATAGTGACTAAGTTAGAAGATTGGAGCTGTATTCAGGTACCTCAGGTATGGTTACTCTTCATTTTGACAAGCAATGAAAATAAAAAAGGCGTAACATGATCTCACCCTGACAGAAACTACTGAAGATGAGGTATCGAGATCCGAGTCCTCAGGAGTGGCAAGGGGGAGTTGTGGAGAGGCATTGTATGCAGGCAGTAGGTGCGGGATTGGAAGTGTTACCTGATTTTGTCTGGGGTCTGCATTCATGAGTAAAAGATTTGACCAGATATCAGCTCCTAGTTAGTAAGAGACAAAATCTAGGTTTGAAGAATATGAACTCAGAAACATACGGCTAAAGTCAGCCCAGAAATGAAAGAATATTCGGTGCGAATGCAGATTTATTTTCATACCGATATAGAAAGTTATTTGTGAAAACCCGGTAACAGGTCCCGTTGCATACACATCAAATCAAAGTAGAAGGTGGTATATCCATAGCCACACAAATCCAGAGAAGGAGAAAATATGCCGCAAGATAAAATCAATATGTCTATCCATTTATTCATTAAAACTGGCAAAGATTATGCATGACTAAAAGGTCAGCTCTCTGACTACAACTATCAAGTATTATTTGTGAAAGCATGTCAGTAAGTACAATCGTCTCAGTAAAGGCACTATGGTAAGTCAAATATAAAAAGCTTGAGTCATTCTAAACAATAATTGAGCAGTATTAAAAATCCACAGAAGCTCTGGAGGAAAGCATTAATAATGATCAAAGTGACGTAGAAATGCAAATTCAACCTTGTAGCCTTTTTCCCCGCTGTCCCAATACAAGGAACCGCAAACACTAGTGAGCTTTCCAGTTTTAAGAGGATGGAATGCCTAAAGCCAAATACTATAAATGACATGCCAACAAATTAGCAAACGAAGTAGACATTTTCAGCGCGATAAAGTATCAACTGGTAACACTAAACGAAGTCTATTATACTGTCGCTAGTGTCGCGTAAAAGCGAGACCCCATTATTGAATGTGCTTAAGTTAGCAGGGATCTAGAAGTGCTTAAAAAATTTTTGCTTCGAAGTGCAGTGCAATCAAACGTAAAAATGTAAAACTTTAGCTTCCTTTAACAATAACTGGAAGCGGTGAGCAGTAGAGACCAGATAGGACTCGTAAAAACACAGGCGTATGGAAATACTAGTTCGCGCAAAAGATTATCGACACATTTCTTAAGTAAAGATTATAAACTCGAAATCGGGTTAAACGCAGACACAAAGTACAATGAAGAAGAATTTCGAAACAAAACAGGTGAAGTAATGCTTAATCTCTTACATCATGAAATGTCGCAAAGAAAGGCATCTGATATGAGAGCCAGAAAACTAAAAGCTGAATAGTGTTCTGTCAAACACAAGGTGGTAAAGAGATCACATACAAGCGGACGCAAGCAACGAACGCTGGCACAAATATGTGCAAAAAAACTTTAATGCAAAATTTATTAAATGAACGAGGAATATGAAAATCATACCAGGACAAACGTTCCTCTTCTCGGCGCTGTGACCTTCGAGGCTTGGGAAAGCGGTTAGCAAACCATTTAATGCAAATTAGTCCAGTTGGTTTAGAATTGTATCTCAAGAACGCCTTAGTAACTCAAAATTTTGGAAGAACATTTTTGAAAAAATTCGTGGAGTTATAACTAGACTCTATTTTTGAACCACAACCCCAAAGAGGCCTTCAAGGGAAATTTATGAATAGAAATGTTATAGACTAGTTGTGAGGCTTCCAAACCCAGCCGTTATGTCGATATTTATCTAATCATTTGCTAGCTAAGGGGAATTCATCAAACAAATCAATCTTGCCATAATTTATTTAACATTGTGAAAGTCGCTAAGCATATAAACATTAGAGACAGTTGTTGTCACATAATAAAATTTCATAACAAACACGTTCCACATCTTTGTTAAGAAGGGAGGAAATAATGGTCTGATTACTTGGAAAGCAATAATATAAGTCCTCCTATTTCCCAAACAATGCTCGCCCGAATCTTGCTGCAAATGTCTTTTGCGTTATACCAGTCTTCACAACTTGGTAATACCGTATTGACGACCAATGTTGCGCCCATTAAAACGTCAGCGGTTTGTCACGCTTGTTATCATGTTGATTAGCTGTTGAAGAGCGTTAGTTTAGCCTAAAAGGTGTTCGTCACAGCTGTCTTCGTCGACCTGCTCGTTTTTCGTTATGTTATTGCTGGTTCAAAAGTAACATTTGCTCCCATTTCTTTGGTCTTCCTTTTTACGTTTTACATAGTTTCTCTTCATTGCTTTTGATCGTCCGCTGCTGTTCTCCCTTTCCATTAGTTGCTCATCAATATGCTTCTTTTGCCATTTAGCTGTCTCGCTCTTACATAGTTTGGTTTGATCACTTTCCGCCTTTCCGCACTGTTTCTGATAGCTACGTCAATCCTTTTCTTCATTTGCTGGTTATGTCAAACACATGATATTCTCTTGAAGGTTCCTACTTATTTCAAAATACCCGTAACTCTCATTTGGTTACACTTTATGCTCTTGTTGTTGTCCCCCTTAGTGGCTATAAATAAGCAGCTGATTTGCTACTAGTAAAAGCACATTAAAGGTTTGATGCTGTCATTATGACCTCTTAATCCGGTTTATCATTGTACTGGGTTTACGCCCTGACTGCATAAAATAGCAACATAGTTTGCCAGTCAATTTATTGCTTTGAGGTGGAGCAATCTTCGACCTTGGAAGGTTGGGCCTACCTCCCTACTGGCCTGGAGAAAGTCGCGAATTGCGCCACCCACCTCCCCTTTATACCCGTCAGCGTCTATTTGGCAGTCAACCTCATTAATAAGACAAGAACACCCACCGAACTGCTAGTCGCCGCTGTTTATGGTATTGCTCTCATCTCCCTTTTCGGGGCCTCCTCTGCCTACCACTTTTGCGCCCTTTTTCCCACCAAGAGGTAATTCAAATCTTGTTTCTACTATTTACTCATCTGTGGTCTAATCATCTTTATTTTTCGCTCATTCCAAACGGTGCATTTCGCTAATTAACTTATAATTTTGTGCTACTTTGTACTTTTGTAGCCGTTTCCACGATCTCCTGCATTTCTTTGACCGTTTGGTCATATTCGTTTTCATCGCCGCTTCTTATACCCCTTGGTTCGTTGATTGCAGCTTTTATACCTTAATATGCATTCATAATTCGTATTTTGGTCCCTTGGTGTCATCATGTGGTATTTCAAACTGTAACTGGCTTACCTCTTACCCAAAATGTGAGGGTTTTTTAACAATCGCTGCGAACGCCATATTTTTCCCATTACAAATCGATATATAGCTTAGACTACCCACGTTATTTATCTATGCTGTACAATAGTTTGCTCAGTATACAGATGTTATCTTACGTAAATAGCAGTGATGTTCTCTCAGATCCTCCACCTTGTTTTGTTTAAGGCTTGTGTTGCGTGAATTCGAGATGGACATTGGTCTCTTAATGCTCAAAGCTATTTGGACAACTGCTCTCTGCGGTGCCGTATATCAATATTTCTGCCGGAAAAAGTGCGTAATCAGTTCCGCCATGACTTGATTCTTTTTTAGATGGAGGCTTTTAAGCCTCATTTTCTACCTCACGATTGGTGTACTGCCGGCGATTTCCGTTGCTTACATAGTGAGACCCTGATATGCTAATGCACGCTTAGATATCTATGGAAATGTGCATATTTCAACTGATGATACCTCATAAATATTAATTGTAGAAGGATTTTTCCGGACTTCGAATAGTAGCTCTGGGTGGACTGACGTATATCACCGGAACTATCTTCTTCAAAATGGACGGTGTGATTCCCATGGCACATGCAATTTGGCACTGCTTCGTTGCATTGGCTGCCTACATTCATTTCTCAGCAATCGACCGATATCTCTACTCACCCCTAATTTGAAGCATTGAAGACCTTGCGAGGGCATTTTTGTGCTTCCACATCATTCATCAATGTATTATGTAATCTGTCACATAAGTCTCTGACTTTCTGCAGTGCACCAGCATTATAATTTATTCAACTTGTTAGTCCTTTATCTTCAATTTATGCCACTGGCGCTTGGTTAATGTCATTGCAAGGCACTGCATCCAGGCTCTACCTGGATTCTTGATAATCTCCGAAATTCAGGTGTTTGCGTGCGTTAAGGAAATTTGAGAGCAATGCGTCGTGGTTACTGATGCATAACTCCTTGTCAGTGGCTGCTATGATCCCGTTAATAGCCTAACAGTTCTGATAGCCACTTGGATTGCTTGCACAGTGAGTCATGAATGACTAGAATGGATGCAAGACATATTTACTCACATGAAGTAAAAAGAAGTAGGCTTCTAGTACTGACTTGGCTCAGTAGGGCGGATCTTGTGGCGTTTCACGTTGGCCACATTGCGTTTTGAGGGTTACAAAATTACAATTTGTTCGAGGTCTGTGCGCTGGAGCTCATTCCTCTCGCAGACGCCGCCATTATGTTGTTCAGCTGCACTTGATCTAATCTCCAAACGACCAAAAGACGGTTTCAATTTCGATGATGAATAGCATCTATGGTGACGATTCAGCTGTGCCATCATGGGATTGAAAATGCTCAAAGACGAAGTCAATATAGTTCTGTCGAATACACTAAACAAATATAGATCATTTGTCCTTATCTCCTCTGACATATAACCTCAGAGTCTTGGAATATGTTGATGGTGGTACCAGTTGTAGCCTCGGTCACAGACCTTAGTGGTTATCAAAATGTGTTTGCCTATTACTTGAATTAAAGTGATTGAATTAGAGGTTAGTCGTTTAAAGCAGAAGGAATGGAGAGTTCTGATGCTACAACATTCCTAAAACCTGAATTCTTGTAGTAAAAAATGCCAAGCAAGAATTAAAGAGACCGAAATAACGAATCCACAATCATTTGCACATTCTATTGCCTTGATCCAAGCTGTGAACAGCAAATTCAAACCAAATCCCTTCAGGGTAATTTCACGCCCCAATGAGGCGTTCAAAAGCAGGTGTTGTCTTTTCTAGATCTTTGCAAGTTTGACAAATTGGGCTCTGAGTCGAGGCAAAGGAAACCTAAAAGTACTTCAGTGGAAACATTTAGTTAGAACAATGGTGCTAGTGTTGCAATGTTGACCAAATGTGGGGCTTTGTACGAAAATGTGAGCGGTAGGGCAAAACATTGAGGGGAGGAGGGAAGGCAGGGCCCGTAGGACAGGAGGACTCTCCTAGGCTTTTAGACATTGTATTGCCAGTTCTTGTTATGGCATCACAAGCTGTATTGATAAGGAAGGCAAGAAACAAGTCGGTGAATTTTAATCACATTACCTCCTACTTCACTAACCATAAGTTCAGTAACTTTTTGAGATTCGGCGATTTCGTTGCATCAATGCACTAGTAATGTACTTCACTTGTTCTAACCTTAAAGTAGAAAAACAAATGACGCTGAATCGCGGGTCGAGAATAGGTTAAAATGAGAAGTGTTTCGACTTAATTAGCTGCAGGTCTAACCCTACGGATGAGAGAATTCCTCAGTCAATCAGGTTACACAGAAGCAACCACTGTGAACAAAAAACAGGAGGACGAGGAGAGCACGGAGTAATTTTGCAATGCCCATCGCATGGCACGAGGGATAGTCTTTGCGATACATCGATACAAGCACGGATTGCAATGAAATTCGAACTGTCTGTGGTCAAATTACAGTCCGTTGCTACGACGGTTGTCGAGATAGGATTTTACTATTAGGGTGTGGACAGGTCCATAACTTGCGTAGTGTTCTTACCATGGACATTTCTAATGTAAAAGTATGGAAAGCATCAGAATGTGGAGAACCTGCATCCTATCCTATAGCTCAGGAGTGATACCTTTATTTGGTCATTATCACCCACAGATTAATCAAAACATTGCAAACAAAACACACCTCCTCGTGACTACGAGGGCATGATTGCACCCACACGCACTTACATATCCCTAAATCACCAAC